GTGATGGACCCATGCTACGGGATGTTCACTACGGACGGCCGGACACGTGTTTCCTGGTTCCAGCCCTGCTCATTGGAACCTCTCTACAAGTTCGAGCTGCTTGGGTTATTAGTGTCGATCGCAGTGTACAATGGCCTCACTCTACCCATCAATTTCCCGACAGCGTTTTACCGCAAGCTACTGGGGCTCAAGGTAAAGCACCTCGAGCACATCCAGGATGGCTGGCCAGAGCTCACCAAGGGCCTTGAGGGACTCCTGGATTGGGATGACGGCGACGTGGGAGATATTTTCATGCGCACCTACGAGTACAGCTTCGAGGCCTTCGGAAGTGTCGAGACCGTGGATATGCAGAAAGTCGGAAAGGACGCACCGTGGCCTCTGCCATCAGCATTACTCCGGGCCGGAAGTGGAACCAATCGACCCTTCCCACCGCCGTGGTCAGACGTACGACGCTTCACTGACCGTATGAGTCTGAGTCCTCCCTCGTCGATGGCTGCCGAGGCCACCGACTCGCATGCGGATCTCGCGAAGTCGGTAGACGGCTCGGTGCCGGTTCAGTCACCAACACCTCCAGCCGAAGAGGCGCCACTGGTCACCAACGAGAACCGCGCCCAGTTCGTTAAGGACTACATTTTCTGGTTGACGGATAAGTCAATTCGGCCGCAGTACGAGGCCTTTGCCCAGGGATTCTACACCTGTCTCGATCGAGCCGCTCTCTCCATCTTCACTCCGGAGGCATTGAAAACAGTGGTGGAAGGGTACCAGGAAATAGACGTCACCGAGCTTGAAGAACATGCACGCTACGAAGGCGGGTTTGGACCGGATCATCGGACGATCCGGGATTTCTGGAGCGTTGTGCGAGGATACTCGGCGGTCCAGAAGGCACAGCTTCTGGAGTTCGTGACGGCGAGTGACCGAGTTCCGGTCAATGGGATTCCTAGCATCATGTTTGTGATCCAGAAGAATGGCGTGGGAGATACTGTAAGTTGCCCTGGTCGCCTCGTTGGAATTGTAACCCACTCACTGACCTTCTTCTCCAGCGTCTTCCGACTAGTTTGACCTGTTTCGGCCGGCTTCTTCTGCCGGAATATTCATCGAAAAGCGTTATGGAGGAGAAGCTTAGCAAAGCATTGGAAAATGCTCGTGGATTTGGCGTTGCATGAAAGTGTGATTGACTGAGGTTGGACTATACATAATCATTATACCATCATGGACCCTCGTATAATATCACTCCCTCGCGGATGGCTCGGAACTCTTTCCTCCGAGTAGCTCAGTAGCCTTACGGATTTCCAGGGATTCCTTTGCCTCTTCGCCATCGCCGAATCCACGGATTCGCCGCAAGAGAGTTAAAACTCTATCTACAGGTGTCGGTCATATAAGTTTCCCCGGCGATCATCTTTTTTCGCTCTGTCCCTCTTTTTCCGCTGGTGACGGGTGGAGTTTGATTCCAATTAATTAATGGATTTGTTACGTCAAAAGTGATTGATTAATGTCCATTGCATCCCTGCTGACGCGCCATCTGCTAAAATTCTGACTCCCCCGTACGGAGTATTTCTTCTTTGCCCCTCGGAAATCCTTTTTCGTCCTCTGATTTTATTCTTTTTTTTTCTTTCTTGCCCTTCTCTTTACTTCACCTGTCCTGTGAAAAAAAAAATTTAGATCGCATCAATTACACATCTAGGTCAGTGCCCGAGTCTTACTTAGCTGACTCAAAGCTCCAGTTTGCCCCGCCACTAATTCCTACCCCACGTTTTAATCTCTCCTTCTCCATTCTCCCCTCCTGTTCTCACGGCCACCTACCTACCCTATACTTACTTTTCTGAGACAGACGTATAGACCGGTCTCATATCTGATATATATACACATCGAACTATATAGATACACGGAAAGAACGAACGATAGAAACCTCGAAAATGCCTCCCACCGTCCACTGCGTCCGTCACGCTCAGGTCCGTTCATCTTCCTCACTTTCTCACACTCTTTCAATCATCCATCGATATCCAATCTATCAATATTATATTATAACATTCTCTCACCGCTTATCTTATATAGGGCGTCCACAACCTCTCCACAGCCAACCACGTCATCCACGACCCTCTCCTCACGGATCTCGGCAACGAACAATGTCGCCAACTCCGCGGAGCCTTCCCCTACCACGACAAGATCGAGCTTGTGGTCGCCTCGCCCCTGCGCCGAACAATGTACACTGCGCTGCAGAGTTTCGAGCCCTTCTTCAAAGCGAACCCGGACAAGAAGTTGATCTTGCTGCCGGATACCCAGGAGACGAGTGACGTGCCGTGCGATACGGGCAGCGAGCCTGAGGACCTGAAACGTGAGATTGAGGAGAAGGGGTTGCCGGTTGATTTGCAGTATGTGACGGAGGGGTGGAATGATAAGGTATGTCTTATTTTTTCTTTTCTATTTTGCTTTTGGATCCATTTTTCGGTAAGGGGGGATGCTGACGGGTGAGCTGGTACTCATAGGTGGGTCGCTATGCACCGACTAATGAGGCCATTACGAACCGCGCTCGTGATGCACGACGATGGTTGAAGGAGCGACCGGAGAAGGAGATCGTTCTGGTTACTCATGGTGGGTTTCTGCATTTCTTCACGGAGGATTGGGAGGACAGTAGTCAATACCAGGGTGAGTCATTCATCTATCCTATCCATCTAGATCTGAGTCGAGCAGTAGCTAACGGGACCAGGAACTGGTTGGCTGAACACCGAGTTCCGCGACTACGTCTTCTCGCCGGAATTCCACACCGAGGATCTGGACGGCAAAATACTGGCGGGCGACAACGCCAGCTTGGTCGAGACCGTGGATTCGCGCGCACGTCGCGGAAAGGACGGACCTATGGCTGGGCGGCGACGACAGAGCACGCTGTACAAGCTCGGAACGCAGGATTGGGACGCCCAGGGGTTGCAGCTCAGTTCGGCAGAGCGAGAAGTACTCAAGAATATCGATCCGAATGGTGCTCGCAATTGAGATGGCTTTGTTGTCTCATCTCAGTTGAATGGGTATATGCTAGGATCGGACGGAAGATACCCGGTCTGTTTCCTTTGTAGATAGTGCTAAATTAGTTGAATAGAAGAATAGAAATGTGGATGCATTCATCTATGGTGCGACGAAAGGGATAGGTTGTCTGAAAGCATTGGCCTATGTGCTGCTGGGGTGAAACACCCTGATGGGTAGAATGCTTTGAGCCGGTGTTATGGTTGTCAAAGAGCCGCACAATGACATTGCCGCCTGCACACAGGGGCATCAAAGGCATTAAAGGATACCCAAACATGCCAAAACAGACTCGGCCTTGTAGCTCACGAGTACAAAGAGACCCCTGCATTGTCTCGTTCGTCTATAAGTAGCCGACAACTGCGCGTCCGGGTCTTCTCTTCAACACTCAGCAGCATTCTACGTGAGTGAAAAGGTGCCAGACAGGTGAGTTTCCTTGCGTAAGGAACGAACTGATGTTTCTTAGGTCGATCCTGAGCAAGTTATATGATCGCGACCTGTAGGTGCACTTCCATCTGAATGCTGAAAGCGATGGGCTCTTTTGAGCTAAATATACTTGTCGCCACGACCGATAAGTGTCTCCCCCTTCTTACCGGTCTATCTGCTGATATTAGCGAGATAGTGTCAAGTACGATCGAAGACCCCATTTCCCCTATGGGCTCTATGAAGCACCCCGTGTGATATACACTTCTAAGTTTCTTCCCATCCAATCTACCAACATGGGATACTGACACGGGCACATGCAGTTAAAAGAAAGCCGGACAGAGGATGGGTTTTCTCTAAGCATTCATGTTCTCTAGAGGTTGATGTCGGGCCCTTTTTTTTCTGTTATTTTTTGGGCCGAAGGATGTAAGTCGTCGACTGCATTCAAACCACGACATCCTGATTGATGAGCACGAGTCCTGCTAGGCTGAGCAGGCAGATCAATAGCCGTACACCGGATTATTGACGCTTAGATACGATATCCTATGTGACCGTAATCGAAGAGCTAGTTCGCGGTGCAGAGAACTTTAATTCTAGCTGACGAAGTGGGGTGAGATGCCGCCGATAGTCTGATACAGCGGATGCAATGACACGCAATTGGTCTCGGCGGAGGCTTAGCTTGCATATGCAGAACGCGGACAGACGGCTGCAGGAATGCGACTATGACGCCTGACAATGTGGAGTGATAGCGGTGTGGAGATATTGGCTTATTTGTACATACGTCTTGTGGTTTTGTTGGATCCTAGATGCTGTGTGTAAGAGGTCAACCCGTGAAGGCTATCCGCCGGTTGAAGGCTGGTATGTGTTGCGCTGGTCCTCGATCTTGACGTGTGTATTTAATCATACAATTTAATTTTGTTTTCCATCTGATCGATTTGGTTCATACTGGTCCCGTGTTGGATATTTGTAGATACCCGTCATCGATCTCGGCTAATCGGTGTCGATCCAGGCAGATCCGGCAGGCGGTTGCATTTATTGGAGGCGGGGTCAAGGCAGCAAGATTGATTATCAATGTATTCTGTCGTATTCCTGACATCGACGCTGATCAAACAGTGATTTGTCATCATGACTTGTATGCATTTCATCCGTAGATGGGAGATTTGGCTAAGAGTAAGTACTGGACAGCGCAAGAGGATAATGCGGATGCCTGGAATGGCACCATGGAGGCTTATATATGAGGCCGTGCTGGTAAAGTGGAACGGATGAGTGAGAGATCTGCTGTTGATATCTGGTTGCCTGGCAGGAGGAAGCCAGAAGGAAGATTTATAGAAGGCAGAGAAGCGGGCGATACTCGTTGCGGTAAAGGCGCATGCAGGTGATCGGCGTCTATTTTTAGCCGACCGCGTGGCGCAGGCCTGAGGCAGACTTCGGTCATCCTCTTCGACCTCGTTTATTTGGCTTCCTTCCTTCCACCCGCCTGTGGTTCTTTTCGTGCTGGATTTATAACCAGTCCAATGGCAGTTGCTTATCTGTGCCCATCCCCGGATTAAACTCGTCTCTCAGCCAAAATGCTTGATGAAGCCCTCCCGAGTATGGTTGCACGGTTTCCCCTGTCCCTGACGATGACCAGGTACTAACATGCATCAACATTAGCATTCTTCCTCAAATCCACTCGCCAGTCTCACCTCAAATCTATCTACTTTTGTCAACATGGCAATGACCCCTCCCCCGCCTACTCTCTGCGCCACGTCGACCCTTCCACCCCGGACGGCAAGAACCGCTACGCCGCCGCCCTTGTTGACCCTTACGTCCCCGACATCATCTACGGCGAGGTTCTAATCGTCCCCGAATGGACGCAACCTAGCCTCTCCGCCGATGCCATCCGCGCAAATGGCGGCGTCACTCCCCCACCGGAGCCCATTCTCCCCACCCGCTTCACCATCCACCTCTACAACCCCGACCAGCAGGTGACCGTGGAATTCAAGCCTAAGAGCTGGAACAGCCCGGCGACATGGACCTTCGAGATGCCGCAGCATACCTTCCGGCAGCCATCCAGCTCGAGTCTCGATCGCACGCAGACCGATCCCGCAGCTGCCGACACCACGCCGAAGCTGTGCTTCAACTGGCGCCGCGACAGCAAACTGTCCAAGGATCTGACGTGCTACCTGTCGGGCAAGACAACCTCCCTAACGGAGAACAAGAACAAGGCGAAGAGTAAAGAGCCGGACATTATCATGTCAATCTTCAAGGGGCTGCGGGAAATGACGCTCTACGAACCGAACATGTACCGGGTCGATATGGAGGATTTCAAGGGCCTGGAGGTCGTCCTGCTGCTCGGTGCGGTGGTTATCCGCGACGTGTTCTTCTCCACCATGAAGGAAAGCTTTAACCTCTCGAAACAGGCGGCCCCGATGGCTGCACCGCCCCTGTCTACCTCGATGCCTACCTCTGGCCCTTCCGCTGCCACCTCTGCCGCTGCCGCTGTCAACGGTACCCACCGACCCAGTCTCTCTCCGATCAAGACGACGTCACACCAGAAACAGAACATCCCAGTCGCTTCAGGGGGATTGAACGCCCCATCAACCCAACCCCAACCCCTACCCTCGAAACCACCCTCTAGCACGAAACCCAAACCCCACGGCCACCAACGCAAGGAAGAAGAACGCCGCACGCAAAAACTCCTTGAAGAAGAAGACAAAGCGCGCCGCAAACGCCAGGCCGAAATCGACCAGGAAACGCGCCGTCTGCAGCGTCTCTACGGCGAAGAAGAACATCGCGCTCGCATCCACACCCCCTCGCTTCCGCCTCGCGCGTCAGCCTCCCGACCTCAGCAGCCTTCCAGCTCTAGACCGCAGGCACCGCCGCAGCCGAGACCCATGCAGCCTAATGGGCGCGGGGCCCCGGCGCAGCGGTACTACCACTACCATCACCATTCGCCGTCGACGCCGCATATCCCGTCGGGTCCGTATCTGTCGCCGACTGGGGGCCGTCGACCGGACCCGAGACAGCAGTCGACGGTGACGTTTGCGACGCCGGACGGGCCAGTGGGCACCGGGGTGCGGCCGACGGTGCAGCCGAAGAAGAGTAGTTTCTTTGGATTCCGGAAGTCGGGTGATGAGAGGGAGAGGGAGAAGTTGAGTAAGAAGCGGAGTTCGATGTTTTAGTGTAGATTGGGGTTTGTTTTTCGATTGGGATGATTGATCCTATTTTTGGTTGTATGAAGTTATGATACCCCTGTTTCAATTTGGCGTTGCATTCATTCTTTGAAGTTGGACATCTCTTTTGTTTTCTTCGATCTTTTCTCGCATGTCTCTGTGGGCATGCATCTACACAAAAGCTATCCTGCAATTGATACCTCACGTCCATCCATGTACACGAAACCAGTTAAAAAGAAAAGAATGAATACCAATATGAATATCCAATTACCCACGCCTCTAGACATGCATCCATCCAAATCCATCACAACGGTCTCCCCTTCACACCCTCCGTCGTAATCTTCACCGGCTTAATATTCCCCTGTTCATCGAACTCCATGCGATCGATGCATGTGACTCGATGATCACGCGCTGTGTCATTCACATATCGTCGATGATACACAATATAGTAGTTCTTGCCGTCGGGCGTGAACACGCTGTTATGGCCGGTGCTGGTGCCCACTTTGTCGTTTCCCTGGAGGATCTTAGTCGGTGTTGATGAGAACGGGCCGGTGGGTGATGGTCCCGTCACGTAGCTGACGCCGTAGGAATTGTCGCCCCATCTAGATGGTGGTTCGTGTGTCAGTATTAGCTCTGTCCCTATCCTGGCTAGCCAGGACAAGACGCCCTGAAATCGACGCAGGGAGAAAAAGGGATAAGGGTACACAACAAGGAAGGAAGTGTGAAACCAAAGGACCAAGGGAAGAGAAAGGAGAAGACTCACCCGCCCACGCTATACATAAAATAATAAACCCCCTTCCTCTTCAACACCCACGATCCCTCGACATAATCCTTCGGAGTGATTTCCAAATAATCGCCCTTCAACGTAACCATATCCTGCTCCAACTCCACCACCACCGCATGACTCCAACCCCCGAAATACAACCACACCCGACCTTCCCCTTCCTCATCCTCATCCTCGTCCGCATCCGCATCCGCTTCATCTCTGAAAATCTGCGCATCAATCGGCTGCGCTCCCAGCACCGTCGGCCCCGGCACTAACGGCTTCCCAAGGACATCCTCAAAGGGGCCCTCGGGCCTTCCACTCACGGACTTCGCAACCCCGATGCCCGCGCCATCTCCCGCGCTGAAATACATGAAGTAATCGCCATCGGTGGACTGTGTCACGGACGGGGCCCAAGCGGCGCGGTTCGTGGACCATGGGATCTCGGTGAGATTGAGGATGTGCGGGTGCTTAGTCCAAGTGAGGAGGTCGGGGGAGGAGAAGGCATCGAAGAAAGTTTGGGTTTCGTAGGTGGCGGAGTAGGTCGGGTAGATCCAGTAGGTATGGGAGAAGATCCGCGCCTCTGGGTCGGCGTACCAGCCGGGGAAGATGGGGTTGCCGGTGAGGGTTTTGTTGTTGGCGTTGGGGCGGGGGGATTGGAAGAGGGTGGATTGCGTGGAGAGGGCCATTGGGAGGGAGGAGAGGAGGAGGGTTGTTAAGATGGAGGAGTGCATGTTGAGGTTGTTGATGGTTGGTTTGGTGTTGTGAGGAAGAGAGAGGAAGAGAGAGAAGAGGTGAGGGTAAAGAAGAAGAGATTGGGAAGGAAGGAAGGAATGCAGATCAGATCAGACGCGATCAGAATGCGGGGAAGAGATCAGATGATACATACTCTAGAGTCTGCAGAATTGATTGACGGAATAAATTCACTTCAGCATCCTCGTCGCATAATTGATCACATTCATCAATCAATCACCGATTACTTCATGGGGGTCAGAAGATGAAGTCATTCACTTAGGGCTACAATCTATACGGACTGGACAGCCAACCACTATAACCACGACAGTTCCCCCACAACATAAGGTAAACCACTAATAATTATACGATAATACACATAAACAGAAAATATAAAGACCCCACCAAATTGAATATTAAAATAAACACGACCCATTCCTTCCCGTTCAACCCCCACCAACCGAATGGCTGAGCAAAGTAAACACGAGCCCCCAATTTATGAGCTTATCCAAGGTCAAGATTAAAATAGCAACGAAGCTCGTACCGCACCTTAACTCGATCGTATTCGGCGGAGCTGCTTGTCTCCTTCGGGTTTAGAGTGGCCTCGTACCTGAACAGACAGAGAGCAGTCAATAAATGTTCCACTGCAGGTTCCGCCGCTTTAATGAGGGCAGCACGGGGCACTCACTGACTATTCACTGAACACGCACACACCGATCACTCCATCTCTCTCCGTGAGAAGCAGCAGCTCTGAGCTCCTCAGGGCATTATCCGAGTCAAATATTATTCTGTTAATCTTATCCTCATCTTAAAGTTATAGCAGACGCACAAAGCCACCATGGATTCTGATTTCTCTTTGTCTCTTGCCTTGCCCTGCGCATAATGACCTCTTTGTCAAAAACACCGTTCCAATGGCTATGTTCAGCCCATTCTCTTCCCTCAATACCCTTTAATAATCTCCTTCCATCTCCATTTTCCTCCCCATGTCATCCCTTCATATGCCACGCCGTGAGCGAAAAGCGGCAACAGTGGACACACTAGTAGTATGCATGCATGTATGCAAAGAGCCATATGGCCCGGATTCGAGCTTACACTCTTACGATCGATATTTTATATATGTAGCATTGGCATTTCTTTCCCATTCCTGTTCGCCTATCAGATTTATCGGTCCTGCAGGTACCGTGCATGTCATAGCTTCTGATTGAATCCACTAACGTATGTACTAAGTTCGAGTTGGTTAACGAGACAGGGTCTACGGAGTACGGGGTAGTTAGTAACTAATACTGTAGATCCTCGTTTTCGTTCTATTTTCGGAAACCTTTTTTTTTTTTCGGCCTTGTCTTCCTGGGTCTTCTTTTTCAGCTACGAGACTTAGTATTGGTGGAATTGGCTGTTATACTGGCCCTCTGTTCGTAACTCGACAACTAGGACCATGAACCAAGAAACGGCCGGGAGAAGAAAAAGAAAATAAATCACCATATTTAGGCACTATAGCGTAGATAGTGCAACTTGTTCGTGAAGATCTAGTGGATATTACACATCGCATCCACTACAGATGTTCGAACGACTTGCGATTCGGGCGCCAGCTCCAGCTCCAGCTCCAACTCCTCCCTGTCCGAGGGATTCGAGTGCAGATCCAGACGCAGACCCAGAATAGAAATCGGGGTATTGAAGGATAGAAAGGAATTGAGGGATGGATATAGCTCAACACGAGATGATGGTCTTGGGGGCTATCTGGTAGACATCTCGTTTGTTCTTGATCTAGAGGCCAAGTTAAGTATATAAGAGGGAAGCTTTCAGGTTTGGATTTAGAAAGGTCCAAATCAATATCCAAGATAACGACAGCATACCGATCAGAGATCGCATTCGACATTCCCTTTACTTTTGCTTTGCCGACACTTTCCTTGACTATCCATCTACTTGTCTTATCAGGTTGAATTATTCATTTCTACACTACAGTCCTTCGTCTACTTGGTTACCTATACTGCATACACATCTATAATCACACTCCTTACTTCAAACCAATTCAATTAAACTACATCTACCCAAAGATCAAAATGGTCGGAGTCCCCCACAGCACAGGATGCCCTCTCTGCCGTGAGCGTCGCATCAAGGTACATATCCATCCATCCACCCACCACGAATTCCTCGAATATCACCCAAACTAACAATTCCTTCTAGTGCGACAAAGCAACCCCCTCCTGCACCCAGTGTCGCAAATACGGCCGTCCCTGTCCAGGATACACACGAACATTCCGATTCCAAGACGAAGGACCGGGTCTGGAGCGTCGACACGCTTCGTCTGCATCCACCACCAGCGAACAGAACAGACCTACCTCGAACGCAGCATCAGACGCCGCAGCAGCAGCGGCAGCCGTTGTCCGCGACAACGCGCTGGCCATGATGCATCGAGAGCAAGTGCACGCGCAACAGACGCAGCCCCAAGCACCATCAAACATTGAAGATTTCAGCTTCGGTTTCAATTCCGGCTTCGACGCTTCCCTATCCCATAGCATGCAAGCGACGCATCCCGTGGCGGACATCAACACCCTAATCCGCACCATCTTCCACACTCACTACCACCACAACCTCTTCCGCTTATCCCCCGAAACCATCACCTCAACCCACCCAGAAGAATCCAGATACCAATTCCAAGCCGCCTCCACCGCATGCCTCATCTCCATCTACTCGGCACACGCATCTAACGACCCCTCAAGACTCAAAACCAGCCGCTATCTCTACGCGCAGGCCCTCCGCGAGGTCGTGGCAGGCCTGTACAGCGAGGCAGCGCTCAGCGCGGACATGTTAAGCGCGATCATGAACTTGGCGCTGTTTGAAATGTTTGCGCGGACGAGCCCCGGGGCGTGGGCGGTTCATGTGGACGGGGTGAGACGGTTGATGAGAAGTCGAGGGGCAGAGGGACATATGGGGGGACTGGCGAAGGGGAACTTTTTATTGTTTAGGGGTTTTCTGGTCTTAGCGGCTTTCGAGCAAGAGGGGAGGTGTTTTTTGGAGGAAGAGGAGTGGAGGGCATTGGGGTGGGGCGTTGCGAGGGAGGATTTGGCCAGGGGAGCAGGAGGGATGGCGAGGTGGGTGGATGTTGAGGAGAGGGTGTTTGGGGAAGTGGTGAGGTTGCCCGGGTTGGTGGGTGAGGCGAGACAGGTGGGAAGGGGAGGAGAAGGGGAGAGATTGGGGAGGGAGATAAGACGGGTAAGGCAGAGGTTGGTGCAGTTGGGGACGGAGTTGCAAGCCGGCATGGAGGCGCAGACGCCCCGGGTTAGGGTTGCGGGCGTCACGATGCCGGATCGCGCGCCCTGGTTGCTGCTGCAGGGCGTGGAGAGTGCTGTGGCGCTGCTGGACGGATTGCTGGCACGACGGCGCAGCGATGGCCGGTTCAGGCCCTTTCGCGTGGCGTGTGCGTTGAACGAGGGCCCGGCTGCGATGCCGCACATCGAAGGCATCACTTGGCTGGACCAGGTGGCTTCGTCTTTTGGGATGATCGGGGTCATGGTGGTGGATGGTCAGTGACCGTTTTGATGTCGAGATGTGCCATGTCTAACGAGTTTCTTATTGGCGAACCTGTTTATGTTTTCTTGTTGATACTGGCTTCTGTCCTATTCCAGCGTGACTTGCCATGTTAAACATAAAAAGTGTTTCATTGCAGCGTTGAATATCATGATTTTCATACTATATGTACATGGGAAGAAACGGGTTAATGCGACATCGATTCCTCCAGCAACTTCCTCAGTTCTCCCTTCTCGGCTTCCAGCTCCTCGTTAAGATTAGGGGCAAGCATCAGCACCCGCTTCTGCGGAAGCGTTCCCTCCACCAGCGACTCCACGTCCGACGGCTTGAATCCCAGATCCTTCAACCCGCGCGGCTGGTCGCCCAGCTTGGCCAGGAAATCGGCCAGCGCCTCCCCCAGCACCTCGCCCGCGCTCTCGCGCTTGACATTCGAGATGTCGACGCCGAACGCCTCGGCGGCGGCCAGATGCCGGTCCGGGTTGGACGCTGCCGTGAATCGGAAGACGGCGGGCGCCGTCACGGCGACGGACACGCCGTGCGGGATGATGGGCTGGTCAACCTGGTAGCCCGCGTGCTGGTATCCCGGGTTCTGGCTGGAAATCGGATAGCTCATGCCGTGGCAAAGGTGAACGCCCGCGTTGCCGAATCCCACGCCGGCCAGCGTCGCGGCCAACAGCATCTGCGACTGCGCCTCCATATCGTCGGGATCCCGCACGGCCCGGGGGAGGTACTCGACGGTGCTCCGAAGCGCCTGCAAGGAGAAAATATCCGAGATGGGGTTGGCGCCCTGGTAGGCTGGACGATTGATCGGGTTCGTCGGACGCGGCGTGCGCTCGTTATACGGGATGGCCGTCCACGACTCCAGTGAGTGGCAGAGTACGTCGAGACCCGAGGCCGCCTTCACGGCGGAGGGCATGGTGCGCGTGTTGAGGGGGTCGCAAATGCCCAGCGTGGGTTTCAGATTCCGATGCGCAATGCCGGTCTTGGCCTTTTTGGATACGAGGTCGAAGATGGCGGTTCCCGTCGTTTCTGAGCCGGTACCCGCGGTGGTCGGCACGGCTACGAGAGGCTTCAAGGGTCGATTCACCGGTAGACCTTTACCCAAGGGAGCGTTCACAAAATCAAGAAAGTCGGCCTCGGGGAAGACGGTGTAAAGGTTCATCAGTTTGGCGGTATCAATGACCGATCCACCACCTATCAACGTATCAACGACCACCATCAAATAATTTTCATATCTAGGTATCCGGGGGCAACACACCGACAGCAAGAAAAGCATCCGGATTATACGGCTTGGCGAATTCAATTGCCTCCTTGATCCTACCCCACAATTAGTATGATCCTCCAAACAAACGATCCAGACAACCTACGAGTAATCCTTCGGCTCAATGCGAACCTTATCGAAGACGGTGAATTCGATGCCCTCATGCGACAGACCCTCTACGGCCTGTTTCATCGCGTCCAATTTCACCACATTGCTGTCTGTGACCACGCAGACGCGCTTGGCCTTCATGTTGGCGAAATCCATCCCCACCTCCTTCGTCGCGCCCGGGCCGAACCGGATACTGGAGGCGGCCATCTCGAAGGCGTATTCCTTCTGGCGCGAGGGGTCGACGGGAGTGGCCATGTGACGACGAACATGGTCGGCGAGGGTCGGGGAGCGATGATGATGGTGGTGATTGGGGTTCGAATGGCAGGGACACGAGGGAGGATGCGTATATTGGACGGTGCGCAGGAGGTTGAGGGCTCTGTTGGCGGCCGAGGGGGCCACGCGGATTGAGGGTGTGACCATAGTGGGTGTATCTGGTGTAGATGGAATTGAAGAGATGAATTGGTTTAGAGTAATAGAGACATAGAGGGTTTAAGTTTGGTGACGATGGCAAGGGAGAAAGACGGTGAAGCGGAAGGGAGACGAAGAAGAAGAAAGTTGGGGTTGAAAGTGCGGGGAAGTTAATTGTCCAATTCGGGGATGTCGGACTGATGGCCGAATGAGCTTCATCGTTGACCACTCCGGGTACACAGTATGGACTACTCACGGCCTGTTCAGCTAATTACAACCTACGAGCAATTGGGGAACGGCGTGATGTCAGCATCTCCCCAACCATGGGTCTGTCTACCAACTCAAATGTTCGATTCCCACCGATCGGTCACTTGTCCGTTTTACTATGGGGAGCCGAGGTCCCCGGGAAGCGTTGCTGCGATGATATCATAGTCGTGTCTCATTATTTTGCCCTAACAAACTCGTCCTGAACAACACAATTTGGGCCTATTCTCCCATCCAAACCAAAAATAAATAAAATTTCCAACGAAAGAAATGTGCGATCATTCAACGTCAGAATTCCTGTCATTCCTGCGCACCCACGTTAACCCACGGACTAGATCCAGCCAGCACCATTAGCAAGAATTCGACTTTACATCACGTCGAAGAATAGACCAACCTCAACAGCTCAACAGAGCGTCAACACCAAATCCTTGGATGCATCCTGAATCCGCACCTGGCTGCCCGCCGGCGGGATGCCGTCTTCCCAGGTAATCGCCGGCTCCGACGGCAACAGACTGACCTTGCTGCCGTGGAAGGGGTCGCCAAAGACGTCCGACAGGTCGTACCACACCGACCGGTCCACCAGGTTATACGCAAACACGGTCTGCGGCGAGCTGAAATACAGGCCGTTCTTGATGGCCGTCACCTTGAGACCGACGCCGCCGGTCAGGCCGTCGTGGCGGAACACCTCGGTGTAGTTCTCGTGCGGCTGCACGATGATTTCGGGACTAACGGACGAAGCGACGGACCAAACGTAAACGGGTTGTGCGCAGTTATTAACGACAGCGGCGTGGCCGAGGGTCTGGTTGGTCATGGCAATGTTGGGTAGGGCGAGGCCCAAGGAGGCAAGGGAGAGGGAGACGAGGGAGGAGAGTTTGAGGTGCATGTTGGCTCGGTCTTGTCGAGTTTGATTTCTTGTTCGAAGACGATTTGGTCTGATGGGCAATTGAGAGTGGATTGATTCCTGATTTCTCTAGACTCGGTCAACGGAAAGAGGGCTCCTATATATCCTCAGGTCCCCTCCCAACCTCCGTGCTAATTTCAAAGGGTCGTTTCATGCTAGCATCGCCGGTAACCCTGCTCCCTGCTTCCGTGTTCTGTCGGGAGGAGACATGGCTGCAAGGGATGCCGAATTGTCCCCAGCCAATTGATGCCTAGATTGTCGCAAATCGTGCTACTATATCTAAAAAAAAAAAGTGGCAGGAGACCGGGAGACAGGGCGCAGGAACAAGGTCGAGGTTACATACCTTAGGCAAGGTGTGGAACACAAGGGCGGGAATGTTGGCTGCGCGTGAAGCATTCCAGGGAACGTCGGATAGACGCCGCGCCCTAACCTCTTTTCTTCCCTGCTAGCACAACAGATGTACTACTATATGCGACGGTGTGGCAAAGATCTGCTTGTCTGCAGTGCAGATCCTTCAATTTTCTTCCTGGCAGGTTCGCACATGTACGGCAAGTTATGTTCGAGACCAGATGGGCCCGGCAATTTCCATTGCCAGAGAAAGCATTGAAGATTTCTTTGACACCTCAAATCAAGGTGGGCATGTCGTAGTTCCACATGGAGCCGATATTCCTATTCTTCCTATAAATATTTACAAACAAAAAAGTCCCAAAATATATATACAAAAACAACGATCCAAAATATGTCCCCGCTTCCAATGTCAATATACAGGTATATGTGTGTAGGTATAAGATGCACGAATCATGTCATTCTAGGCCAGTAGCCCCCACGGCTGCACGCAAACCGACGGGACTATATGCCATGTGCCACTCGAAAAGTCGCCACCGGTTCTTTTAGAAGGTCACTATCGCGGAAGTACCAAGCGGGATGTCACCCTTACGTGCAACCACCTGCAGGAACGAAGATTTCAACCCGATGAAATCGACTCTGGTCTCAAAGCCGGCGCGTTCAACGGTCTTGAGGAACGTAGTGTCGTCAGAGTCCAGGGATGGTGCCGAGTATATCGCCCAGTTGTCGTACTCCGTGGCACCATTCCAGCTCATCCATACCCGGGTCAGGTCATCTGGAGCTCGCTGAGCCACCAAGGCAGGTTTCCAGAACGGAGTCGCCTTCCATTGGCACTTGTAACCACGGTACGACGCCACGGCGTTCTCGTCCCCAAATTGCGCACTGAGCACCTGCTTGTTGTCGGCATCAAACTCCTTCACCTTGGCGATCGATCCGTAGCCCAGAAGAACGTGGTTCGTTTCCTCGCTCATGAGCTGATAGCTGCCCTGACTGACACTGTGAATGACATCACCTTCGTCGCTCAAAACGCGCAAGGCGGTGACCTTGCGGTTGACCAGGTCAACACCCAGGCTCAATCCCGTCGTTGGCGCAACTTCATCGGTGGGAGTGTTGGCATTGTTGAACAGATTGAGAACCATTCCTTCTTGTGTTTGATTGTAGATCCGAATGTCGTGTTGCCAGGAGAAGACAGCGTTATCATCGATCTCAAAGTCGCCGGCACCTTTCTCTCCCTACGAAAAGAAATGTCAGTACCCATCCAACAAACTAGGGAAGAAGAAGAAAACCTACACTCAGTTGCCACGCGATCGAGCCGTCGTTGCGAACATGAATACCCGACCAGTAATGACGCAGAGAGATGATATAGCCGTCATCCAATAGATTAACCGAGTTGATGTGGTATGCGTCCCAAGGCTGCTCATGGGTTCCGAAATCGTCTCCCAGTCCCTGTTTGGACTTTTCCAGAGGGATTTCGTCCAGGTGATCGAGCGCGCTCCACGAGTACACGATCTCGTTAGTCGCGATATCAATCTCGTAGAACATCCCATCAAGCATGTAGGCATCCGGCTTGCCGCCAATCGAGGTCAGGTCGTGTTGCGTCACGTTGTAGGCCGTCACCAGCAAGGTGTTGCGATCCGTGATGTGACTCTCGTGAAGATCGATGTAGGAAACCTCGGGTTGGCCTTCGGGGGAGATAAAGTTGTCCTGCAGCGTGACAGTGTAGATTTCCTCGTACGTGTTGTCGAGAATATGAACGGTTCCGTATCCAAAACCCAGCTTCATCATATTTCCGGCCCAGAAGGTAATCACATCTTCATTGAACAGCTTCTGCACCTTGAAGTTGGCGGCGACCTCGGTGGGACCTTGATAGACCAGATTGCCATCATCGCTGAAGATCAGAGCAGCGGTACCCTGATCCTGGTTCCCACGAGGGCCGATGAAGATATAACCAGGATCCGTCTCGCCGCTTTTTGTGACATGCAATTGCGGAGGAACGAACGGGGCGGTGGCCAGGGTGAGGAAAGGCCAATTATCGGCGACGGCGCCGAGGGATAGTAGCAGAGTCGTGCAAGTGGCTAGGAAGCGACGAGCCATGGCGGGAGGTATATTAGAGTTTTGTATCACAATGGAACATATACATTGATGATTATAAAAAATAACCACGGAGAACGAGGACCAAATGAAGGACTACCAGTTAGTTACCGAGGTAGGGGTACAAAACGGTTGACGTCGCGAGGGGGGTATCAATTTAACAAAAAAAAAAAAAAAAAAAAAAAAAAAGAAACAAGAGAGCAAAAGGAAGGAAAAGGAAGAAGGATACAAAAGGCGCAACAGGGGGAGAAAAGAGAAAGAGAGAGAGAGAAAAAGGAAACGGCCGGAGATGGTGACGAAACAATAACCGCGGCCAGGCCCACCGCCGGCGACGTGGAGGCGATGGAGGAATAAGAATGAAACTAAGAAAAGTGTTGCGTTTAATCTCTTCGCTCGCTTCGGGCAGGCGGTGGGCATCAGCTTCGCGTGGGCACGGGACTTCCGCAGGGGCCTGAGGCGCTGATTGGCCTGAGGCGTCTCCCGGACGCGCAATGAGATGGATCTGATCATCCCAACAGGGGAACTTGGGGAGTCTTGTCTGCGTCGCTCTCCCCCACATGGAACGGCGGCCTTTCCTATGAGGTCCCGTCTCGCTTCCTAGACCGTGACTGAAACGGGCAGCCAAGACCCGCATCAGGAATGTCTGCTATCAAGCATCGGTTGGATGGGTCGATTGACGTTTGGCCTCAATGACGCCAAGACCGCTCGATCGTGAGATCATGTTTTCTATCCACGGTGTACGGAGTACGGAGTACGCCTTACGTTATTTCCCAGATATCTCACGGAGTCTTTCTTTTGTGTACCTTCCAAAACACTCTCTTCGATGCAGATTCAGAAGCAAGGCGATACCACGCATAAATGAGCCCGGCCGATGGTCCCCAGAATTAATACGGAGACTCAATCTGCCACGAACCCTGAGAAAATGATCAGCGTGAATATCACTATCTCTGATGCGTCTAACCGACCCGCCCCATACATTTGGAACACCGTGGCTCTTATCATCTTGTTAGATCGGAGTTCTACTCCGCCAAAGCCCAAGACCCATGGGTTGAAAACTACCAGGTGCTCGGTTGACAGTTTACAGTCGGTCGCAATGCCGGTCAGTGCAATTGAACGACGTGGAAACAAGAGAGCCTTAGGTTGATTGGCAACACTCGACTCCCAAAGCTCCACCTATTTCCTTCATCGATATTCACGCAGAACTACTCCATAGCTTATTGGTGCATGATTTTCAGCTCTCTGCTTCGTATTTCGAACTATTCGCTACTAGGTCCAATGATCTACAGTAGATAACACTTCAAATTGACTGCTGCATTGATGTGGCGGAAATCTGCCTTCTTTGGACATTTAATTAATATCTACATTCTAAATTACCCTATTGAAAATAAGATGATGAAAATAGAACGCCACTATGATACCTATCCGTACTTCATACTCAGATGGAACCCATGTAGAACAGCAGCTTGAGAGCCTGATACCTCAAACAGAATATGCGCATTCATTCAGAATCTTCCTGAATCTCCGATATCAAATGTCAGCTACTATACACTGTAGTACTCGGCAAGAGCTTTAAATTCGACCGCCACTAATTCATAGATGTAACCCGGCCAATTAATACGAGAGCACTATAGACGCTAAGTCAAACTGGAATAGAAGGGAATACGACCTCTCGACCATCAGCAACACGAGAAACACTCTTCGTACCTCCCTCCCCTCCGAACCCCTCCTATACTCCGTACAGAATCACCAATATAGCCACATACATACATAGAATCAGACCATCTAACTCACAAAATGACCACCTCAAACAATCCCATAACCCAACGCTTCCAATACGACCCCCAGAAAATCGAACACATATCCACCCGCCCCCAAAAGCCCATCGAGATCGTCGACCCCAACCCCACCTGGCCGGCCACCTTCACGCAAGTCTCCCAACGTATCCGCTCCGCCCTAGAACCAGAAGAAGCTAAAGACTCTGACCCCTTCCTCCTATCCATCGAACACGTCGGGTCAACCAGCGTCCCAGGCCTCCCTGCCAAGGACATCATCGATATCGACCTCCTTGTGGTGGACCCCGCCGCCGAGCACCGCTACATCCCCGCGCTGGAGGCCGCGGGGTTCCAGTTCCTGCTTCGCGAGGAGGAATGGCATCGGCATCGTTTCCTTGGGCTTGAAACCCCCTACGTGAATTTGCATGTGTTTGGGCCTGAGAGTCTCGAGGCGATCAGGCATCGGCTGTTTCGGGATTGGTTGAGGACGCATCCAGAGGATCGGGATCGGTATGCGAGTGTGAAGAGGGAAGCGGCTACGGAGAGTCGGAAGATGGGGGAGACGACTATGCAGTATACGGATCGGAAGGACACAGTGATACAGGAGATATTGAGGAAAGTGTATGAGGCGAATGGTATGTTGGAGTAATTCTGGTTTTGGTATAATGAGGTAGGTTTGTTTTTTGGGTGAAGTGTTCTAGATTTAGGCTTCCTTCGGCTAGTATAAGGATGTATGCTATGGTGAAACCAACGGCTAGTTAGGGAATCTGGCTGTCGAAACTCCTGGCTTAAGATTTTCAGACGAAGTCAAGGGAAAGAATGTCGTACTTTCCAGAGATGAAATGCAAGATACAGAGAGAGGATAAGTACCATGGAGATAGTTAAATCAAACTGTTAGGGAGGAATGGAGGCAATATGCACGAATGAGTATGCTTGTTTGAGCATGGATCATATGCGTCCACACTGTTGCTAGTTCTCCTTCATACACTAATTAACAGGGGGTGCTGCTATTTTGAACTTCATCTTGGGAGCAGTTTGTTGTTGTTAATTGTATGATACTGCGGGAGGGAGGGGATTTGGGAAGCTTTTTGGCCCCATCTCATCCGTCCATTGAATGAATCAACCATCAGAAACCCCAATTCATAATTAGTCTAAAGAGAGACAGGCAGGAAGACATCAAGATAGACAAAGGTAAAAATGAAAAAAAAAAAAAAAAAAGCAAAAAGAACAGCCCAACGCGGGGCTCGAACCCGCAGCCTTGTGATTAAGAGTCACACGCTCTACCGATTGAGCTAGCCAGGCGCTGTTGTTGAAGAGGCGTTTGAAATTATGCTTTATAGTCTTTAGCAAATGATCCCAGTAAAATGATCAGCCTGTCAGAGAACACCTCCAGGGGATATGTCCATGTTTTGTGGTGAATTTCTTCAAAGTCAAGAACAAAGTGTGAGCTATCAACGGATTGGCTCTGATCTACTTATTTACTGATCGCTTATATGCAGAATTTCTCAACAATTTTGAAAAACAGAAAGTTCCCAGAATGCTTGTGTTCTTCGAAGATATATATGGCAACCCGCCCCTGTTAAATATAATGAACACATTCGATATGAATCAACCTTACTATCACTTGTTTCAACATATCTCAAAATGTTGCGAATATGTATTAGTGGTGACCTCTATTGATTGATGATCACTTGCCTCAGCACTTCTTATTCTTTTTATTATCTGTCTGCTTTTTGCTCCTAATCCCTCGTGATGTCATCACTTCTTTGGTTCCTTCGGAAATTGGGAAGATACCATCACCACCAAGCCACAGCCCAGGCCACCCTAAAGGCCGAATACTGAGCTCACGAAGATAAACGGATCCTCGAGGAAGTAAACGCTTAGTCCTCTTCGAAAATATGCTCCTGTCTCCATCTCTGTCCTTTTATATACACACTCCACAAAGTTGTTGATCCAAGAAAGCACAAAGCAGCAATGAAGGTGCCGACCCAGCCAATGCCTACGGCATCAATCAGTGGAACCGCTGTCGCAACAGCTCCTGCGGATGTAAGGTGTCTGATAGTATTCACGGAGGCAATGGTAGCAGCAGGACGATTGGGATTCAAATTAACCACCAGGTTATTGATGCAGTTATTGATCGCGGTTGTGGTATTGCCGTATAGAAACAGCATGACCAAGGGACCAGCAAGATGCACGTTGTACTCCATGACCCAACCGTACCCTATTATGACGAGGCATGAAAGATACAAAAATGGTAATGCCACCTGCACTCGAGCCTTTTCTAGCGGCATGCGATGGGATTCACGCTGTATCTCCTGGTTTGATCGAATGTCCTCCCCGACCTTACGGGCCTGTCGCTTGAAATTCCGATCAAGCAGGATTCCGACATTCCAGCGAGTGATAATAGCTCCTAGCGTAAATGGAAGAAAGTACAAGCCAATCTGCAAAGGATTTAGGCGGTAATTTCTCCCCAGATGAAGCGGAAGAGTGCTTAATATCGCAAAGGACGCGCCGGTGCACAATGCGCTAGACATGATAAGAAGGGCAACATGCCTATCTAAGACAATCCGTAACGTAGCAAGAAACTTTGGTCGCTGCGTGGCAGGCACTGTGGCCTCGTACTCAACCCCACGATGGCCTTCTGAGCGGAGGAGTTGCAGAACAGGTTTATTCCAAGGTTGAGGTGATATGCTGCCATTGCCCACCACGGCTCGACAGGATTCGCGGAGAAATAAGACAATAGAACAGATACTGATGCCCGCACAGATAGCAAGGAACCAAAATATACTGCGCTATCCAAGGAATTGTGCCAAAACCCCTCCCAATGTTGGACCTATTGCTGGACCAACGGTATTGCCTATAGATGAGTAGAACATATATTTGCCTCGTTCTGCCGGGGGAATCAGGTCGGCAACAGTAGCATACGCAACAGGTACTATGGTGCTACTTCCAAAGGCCTGGAGGCAACGTAAGATGAGCAGAGCTGCATAACTTGTCTGGAGTTCTAGTGCGATATTACTGGAGAGGAAGATGAGAACTCAGACTATCAGGACCGGCCGACGGCCATTTCGATCGGAGAAGCTCGCCAGTAACAAGGGTGCAAAGGCTTGCACTATCTAATGACAACTGTCTCTTAGAAAAAGGCATGGAAGGAAAGATAGCGATCAAGCACACCTTGAAAACGATTATCGTCAAGCTAATCTTGTATTTTGAAACATGCATATCTCTTGCCAATGGCCCAAGAGCAACCAAATATGTGTTGGCCGCTACGGGGGACAGAAATGACACCATCGAGCTGAGGCATACGGTAAAGATCTTTTCCTTTTCTGGTAGGATACTGTAGAACGCCTGTGGTTGCTCGTTAGGTGTATATTGTGAAACATTCTCGCACACCCCCTTTTCTGTGGTGGGAGTGATGGTTTCCGGCTCCTCCGTCAGTCTCATGATGCCTTTGATACAACACGCAAAGTTTTGGCTCCTTTCCAGTCGTCATCAAGACTTATCTTCACAGCATATATGTAATGTTCGAATCCACTTTCTATTATTGGCTCGCTACGTAATGAAGCGCAAGGGATAGGATCGCTGCACACGTGACACTAAAATGATACCTCTAACAGCCCTATTTAAGTGATTTGTGGTACTGGGTCCACTTTGATCATACCTATCCTATTCTCTGGCTAGCGATCTCAAGGGCCCCAAACAACCCCCAGTGCAATGATCACCAATTAGATTTCGTCCTGCAATGGTTATATCAGATTCGACAATTTTAAACCCTTCCAAGGCAGGCAGAATTATTCGTGGAACACGTAGATGGGACACTGCAGAGCAGATTATTCCATTGGCTGACAGAGCCGCACTTTTACCCCAAGATTCCGATTTCAGTCGTTGGGACGTAGTGCATCCGATATAACCCGTGGCATTGACACATCACGGGCAACGTTACAGACGTCTCACTTCGTGAGAAACCAGCAGTAATACAATCACCGCAGTTACATAAACTATAGAAAATACATCATGCTTGATGCGTGATCCCGGAAAAGCTAGTTAGATCGTGCATACGCTGGCAGCTAGATCGCCAGCCTGTCAGTCACTGGAACAATCCACGCAATAATTCTCAGGTTTTGGAAGGACCAGAAGAATGCAGGTGTCATAGCTGCAGATTGTGCTCTTCTCATTATGTCTGTTCCAAGAAAATGGGAAATCAGTAAGGAGTAGAAACGTGAGTGATATATGCACACCGCCGAAAAAGGAGCCATGCTATGTTGTGTACCATATCCCGGGAAAATAAGAGGTCACCTAGAATGAAATACCTGGGCTGGCTGAAGGAACATTATCCGTTCATCCCAGCGAATTCAGTGGCTGCTTTTGCAGTCCGCCTACCCACTACATGCGAACAGCCCCCCAGGCACCTAATAATGTTTCTATTGGCATGACGCAAATTCCATCACCTATCATGTTTTTAATCTGTGGATAATCCACAAATGTCGTAAACGCTAGCAGGAACTATTTGAGGTAGATTGCATGAAAGCCACAACCGCCCCACTAGTTACAAATAGAGGCTGGTAGTCTGTGTGCAAGGTTGGATAGTACCTTACTGAAATAAGACACCTGGCAGAAGGAGTAATTTGCAGGGATGAATCTCACCATTGAATGCACCTTGCAGAGCGCGAATTTGTGCTCCCACTCCACTCTCCATATAAAAGCTGGAGGAAGCCCGAATCCAAAATCAGTTCCTGATTTAATCCTGATCTTCCTGTTATTATAATACTCCTTACCAACCCTTAAGCTAAGAACAATGAAGATCACCGTGCTAAGTGCCCTGCTTTTAGCTGTGCTGAGTCCAACAGCGCTCGGGCAAGAGGGCGACACTTACGGCACGGTATAGAATCTCTACCGCTCGCTTCCATCATCGTCAATCTCTAACTATTGATGTGCTGCAATATAGGTCAATCTAAGTGGTCCGGATATCAACGATGCGTATTCAGCAGCGACTGCCTGCATTTCTCTTGCGAATGACAGGTACAATCTAGTCCCCTATACTTTTCTACCAGTGCAGAATACATGAAATGCTAATCGTTTTATTGTCATTGGCTCTAGTCCGAAATCCGTGGAAACAATCCAAATTCAAGCCTCGGCTGATCTTGAGTGCACGTTCTATTCGTACGTTGGCTTACCGAGCGCCTCGACACCTGATAATGAGAGTTTGCTAATCTAGCCATGTCTGTGTACAGGAAGTTTGACTGCGAAGACGAACAGACCACTTTGGGTTCTGGAGGCCATGACTTCAATCCAGAGCTAATCGTGGGCAGTTGGAAGTGTACTCTACCAGTTTAATCACCTCCTAGGCCGTGGGCACTCCTGTTGTGATACGAGGCTGGCGACAATCAGGATAGGTGATCGGCGAGAACACAACAGGTCCTCATTTTCAATTTATTAGAGCTAGAGAGGAGCCCTTGGTATTATGACACCATACTAGAAGGGGATTGAGCGAACGATGAATAAGCCTATCCCGAAGGGGCCTAGTGGTAAGATACCACTCCTTCAGTTTGTCAGGTAACAAAAAAGATTGTGTTGGCCGTCTCTCTAGGCGTAATTGCTAGTAATGTACACTTAGGAATATCGAAAGATGAAGGTCTGATTCTTTCAATCTAGCTGCAAACGATAGTTTAAATACATGAAGAATAATAAGCAATCTAGCCTAAAAAGGCAGTTAGAAGAGACATAACTTTTGAACCATGGAAATAACAGAAAACTCTGCATAATCCTCGGGGATCGGTAGTTACCAATACCGATATCCGGAATAGGAAGGTCTCCTATGTGACTAGCGGTCACATATGGTTGACAGATTGGTTTTGAATCCATCAAACGATTACCTTTTGTCAACACAAATCGATAACTATTTCGTACACACCAAGTTAATGGTCACAAAACGAATGAATGAGGGTCTCTTAAACTATCTGCAATCTTTCTTTGTATAAATATTCCCATCTGAATCCTCCTGGATATGATCGTTATCTTCCATATCATGATGATACAGGGATCTTTATTTAATTTTATTCCTCAGGCTTTTTCCGGCCATAGGCTGCATGTAGCTCCCAAGTAAACGATACCTATCTGCAGCACTTATACCAGCACACCTATTAGTTAGTCAGGTTATGTACAGCTTTAATCTGGCACCACTTTTCTGAAGTTGTTCCTGTCCTCGTGATTAATATTTTTTGATTTTCCTTTTTTCCTTTTTTCCCCTTCCCGTTCCTTCACTTAACGTCCGATTAGTCCAGGTCTGTTGATAACCGTTCGGCGTCCGGTTTTTAAGGCCATAGCAACCACCGTTTTAACGACTTCCAAGTTAGGTTTCCAATTGCATAGATCGCCGTCGACCGGTTTGCCATCGGGAAGAAGTCGGCTCGATCGACCGACCACCGCGTACGAGAGATCACCAACCCGTGATCTCATTGCCCTCGTGACTGCCTGCCGGAGTTGATCCCATTGTCTACATTCAAACAGGAAGTGCTGCACGGTTTCCCTGTCGTTGCCACAGTCGCACGTTTCGCTCTCTGCTCTTCTTATCCGATGGAGAAAGGAAATCAGTCGGGAGTGGCCAGTGCGAAGCTGCGCCAAGGTCGATGCTTTTCTTCGGATCAGATTGTTGTATAGTAATCGAGTGTGCCGGCCGGGCAAAGCGGTGTCGACGAGCCATGTATATCTTCCGCTTCCCGTTCTCTCGATCCCCGATATATATTCAGTCTGGATGACTTGACGGATCTTCCGCCACACTGCTGATCTTAACTGTACTTACGCCCACGCGGGGGGCTCGGACACCGTGCTGCAGTCGTTTGGCCCGTTGGCGCGCCGTCGGCGTTGCCTTGGGTTGTCTGGGGTACCATGCGTGGGAATCCAATGTAATCCAAGTTCAAGTTTCCCTTGGTTAGTAAACGGCGCACTTCGATAGTGATAGCCGTTATGATCCCTTGCCCAATCTGGTGCTGTGGCGACGCCAACGCTTCTAGTGCACTTCAAATATTGGTAAAGATGCGGACGCGAACTGTCGTCGGCGGCATGGAGATCCGAGAGAGCATCATTTTCACATAAATGACTGCGTCGTAGATTGCACCCAGTTGAGAGAAATAGATGTCGATACCGGTGTCCTTCCCTACTATGTGGAGGGTGGAGTGGATGACGGCATTATTGACGACGACTTCCATGCCGTTTCGGATTGTGCACCGGAGACTAGAGCTCCAGATATAGATCAAGAGGTCAGCCCGGTGGTTTGGCTCCGGCTGTGGTGACTCGGCTGCCGTTGCAGTAGTACATATGTACCTATACGTACTTGATTTTGGGTCGTGTTAGACCGACACCCCCCCTGGTTACCCCGACACCCCCTACGTTATCCCGACACCCCCATTTCCTATTCGGTTTAGCGTGGCCATGTGATATGGAAATTTGGCACATAGTATAATTGTTTGAACAGGACATTTCTCATTCTTTTAATCGTACAAAAAACGCTGCATTTATTAACCAAATAAAGGCCTCTATTCAGAATTCGAATTCTGTCAGTTCTCGTCCCCTAACCACTGTGCTGCCTTGCTACGGCTAGCTCGCTGACTGCGTCGTAGTAGTTCAACTTCTTCTTTCTCGCTGGTTTCCCCGTTCTCTTCGTTGGTTGGTACCTCATTCTCGTTATCGCTGTTTCTATCGTCTTTATCAACTTCAATCGTTTCAGTAGAGTTTCCTCTATCTCTAAGGCCCCATCTTCTGCGTCTTTCTTGATTATTCCGCTTTCGGCGTCTGACTGGTTGTTCTTGAGATAATTCGTATTCAAACGCAGATAGTTCTCGCTATAAAGAGGAATCTTGAGTAGCTGTATTCTGTATTGTTTCTATCTCTGCTTCTGCTTCTGTTGCTCGGTTTCCTGATCCGGCAGGACGCCCACGATGACGCTGTACAACTCGTGGCTCAAGAACTAGCGATCTCGGGTCAATAGGTGGGAGGTATTCATCCGTATAAAGACGCCACTGGCAGTCAAACTCAGCAATCCTTATAGGCCTTCTCCTATCGTAGTAACGCTTGATGATGTAGATGCACGGTAGACCCATTGTCTTCAACGTTATACCTGTGCATTCTTTAATTGGTTGCTTACCCGGCCCCCCCCACTGGAAGATAGCGAATCATTATCGTGTGTACTTTATTCAGTGCTTTTGAAGAGACCTTATTCAATACCTGCGAGAAGATAGGCATCCGTAGATGATGAGGGCGTTTCTGACGGTTATCTTCAATAGAATTCCACACCTTGCGATAGCGATCAGTAATAGTAAGAGCGATAGACTGTGCAGTACCTAAAAGGTCCTTTGTAGATACTAAAAGGTCCTTCTTTAGTACCCAGTGAGCGCCTTCATTCCGTGAAGTTGCTTCTTGTCCAAAATGACGGAATTCATTTGTGTAGAATTTAATGAATCGTTTTGCCGTATCCTCTTCAAGCCAGTTCTCATCTAAATAAGTATAGATTGGCTGCCAAACGTCACCACTATATTCTGCTTTGAGATTAGCAGTTGTGACAATGATCTCTTCCTCTGAAATAGAGTTGACAATCTGCATAAAGAAGCCAAAAAAGGACTTCCATTCGTTTTCTACCTTGTTGCTAAACTCTTTATTATCTTGGGCACGGCGACTGTCACCTTCATATTTAATTCGGATAACTTCCTTTCGAAGAATTGGGCGACATTTAGTCATAATAACTTTCTGGATATGCCAAATACAGAGAATATGATCTGTAAAGTTGAATTCCTTCTCAATCGCGTTATACAGGCCTTTTTCTTTGTCGGTAACGATGACTCGAGGATAGCCACATTCATAATAAAATAATGTGTCAGATAGGCATTTAAGAATAAATCCATAGGTATCCTCAGTCTCGTTGTGCATAAAGCCAAACGCTGCGTAGAAAGTATCCCCTGTTGCTGTCATTCCAACGATATCCAGTAAAGGCATCTGGTATCGATTCGTCTTGTAGGTTGAATCCATGAAAAGGACTCCATAATTCATACGTAGCAGTTCAATGCAACTTTTATGAGTAATGAATACAGCTTCAACAATATCATCTTTATCTTTCTGGTGATTGACAATCCAATCCCCGCTTGTTGGAAGAGCAAGTAGTAAGCACTGAATTGGCGTCTTACCATCTAGAAATTCCTGTCGTACCTGGTGATGGAGATTATGGATATCTCTATCGATAATGCTAGTAGCACCAATTTGCTGCAGAGAAGCAATAATATGACGTGTTGGAAGGCCAATTTGAAGTTGAGCTTTAATCTGTACAGAATTTTCAGCTATTTCCTGGCGGCGAATAGCGACATGAGTCGTAGCAGGCGATAGATTATGATTATGACGATATTCTTTAATTTTAACACGCCAAAGGTCATTGTCTTGAAGCCTTGTAATGATCTTAAATGGGCAGTTCGTCTTGATTGTGCTAGTTTTGCGTTTTTGTTGGCCTTCTTTAAGGCGACAGTCATATCGATTTCCTCAGTCACATTTAATCCATACATTCTTTATATGGGAGCCAGATTTGACCTTTTTAATACGCTTTTTATTGACTGCATAGCCATAATTATGTCCATGAGCGTTGAGGACTTCAATGACTTCATCATATGAATCGAATTGTTGAGTTTGTAGTCCAGGGGGAAGAGGAATACGATCATAAAGTTGCTCATTCAATTCCTCTTCTTCGAATTGCTCATTCTACTGCTCGTTGGGAGGATCGTCGCTCTCGTAGCCTTGAAAATAGCCATTTAATGAAGCCATTGCAGTAATAATGACGGTGACAGCGATAGCAACATACAATATAGTCAATATTCAGCATTCGCACTTAGTGGCGAATATACAGCTTGCCCTATGATAAGAGCCCTATAATACAGCTAAAAAAGGAAATTTGTGCTGGGTCTAAGCCTGAATAGGACTAGTATATCACGTGGGGGTGTCGGGATAACGTAGGGGGTGTCGGTCTAACACGACCCTTGATTTTCTAGGACGACCGTAGATTTCCTCTTTGGGACACCGCCGCTTTAGTGAGGGCGCTCAGTGGTCTACTCAGTGAGTATTTCATATCACGGATCACCGCTCTCTGAGCACTCAGTAGTTACCGAGCGGCGGATTTTCACCACGACCACCTCGAGCATCATTTAACGCATCATTTCTTCGTACCAATCATATAAAATGCCACTTTATCATAAGACTCGCCTTCAGATGGCCATGCAGGCCTGTAAGGATCAAAATATTCAATCAATTTTAGAGACTGCTGAAGTCTACGGGCGCTTGAGAAAACCCTCCATACGCGCCTAAAGGGAAGGAAACTACGTTCAGAAACACGCACCAATGGTCACAAACTTACCGAATTTAAAGAAGAATTGCTTTCAAAGCAATTATTAGATGCAGATAAGCGGGGTTTTCCAATTCGGCCTGAGTTTCTACGTAGAATGGCTCAAGTACTGCTTTGCAATCAATTACAAGATTTGACCGTAGCTCTCAGAATCAATTGGCCTTATAAATTTGTTAAGCGCCATCCCGAGTTACGTGCGCGATATACAAGACGAATAACATATTAACGTGCAAAGCAGGAAGATTCAAGGGTTATAAAACCGTGGTTCGAGATTGTACAAGCAGCTATTCAAGAACACAGCATACACGAAGATGTTGTCTGGAACTTTGATGAGACTGGCTTTGCAATGGGACTCTGCTCTATTTCTAAAGTAATTACTGCAGTTGAGAGAAGCGAGTGACCGCGCAGAGTTATTTAGGGCCATCGCGAATGGGTTACAATTATCGAAACGATCAGATCAAGAGGTGTACATTTACCACCAGTCATTATACTGAAAGCAAGCTATCAACAAGCAGCCTGGTTTCAAGAACCTAAGCTTAATAGCGACTGGTGGATTGCAACTAGTCAGAACGGCTGGACAACTAATGAAATAGGCCTCCTCTAGCTAAAAAATGTCTTTAAGCCGTTTTCTAAGCGCTATATAACTGGTACAAAACATTTGCTTATTCTTAATGGCCACAGCAGCCATTAAACTACTGAATTTGATGATTTCTATAAGCAACACGCAATTATCTGCCTCTGCATGTCTGCCCATGCTTCGCAGCTTCTTCAACTGCTTAAAATGGATGTATTTGGCCCGCTTGAAATGGCGTACGGAAAGCTTCTTGAAAAGCGTATGGAAGCCGGCAACAACCATATCGATAAAGAAGACTTTTAATCGCTATAACCAGATGCACGCGCTCAAATATTTAATCCAGCGAAGATCTGCAGCGGTGTTGCAGGGGCAGGGCTTAAGCCATTAAATCCAGAGCGTGTTCTTTTAAAGCTTACTTTCCGACTTCGTACGCCTACACCTGCACCATCACTAGTTGAAGGCTCAATTTCTTCTGCTTTTCAAACTCCGCAGAATACTCGCCACCTTTTCTTGTAGTTGTGGAGTTTTACCGTACATCTTTTCAAGCTACTTATCAAGTCTCTTCTCCTTTAACGCCTCTTTATCTCTCCTGATCGTAATTGATCGATTTGCATCTTGTAAATTGAGTCTCCCAGTGCTATGAAGCTTTGGACCACGCTGGACTACTCGCTTAGTTGTTTTACGCATTCGTGGAGTTTGAATAACTCTCATATTTTTGACTGTATTGCTCATCATCTCCAACTCTGCTGCCTGGATCCTATGATGATAAAATATGCGATTAAGGCATCGCTCCATCTTGAGAAGCTCCTCTTTCTCAAGTATTTTAGCGATTTTTTTTATAGTTCTTTTTGGGATCTTGAGCGCTTTTTGGAGGCGTGTTTTAAATGCTTGAAGACAGGATCTCCTGAGGCGGAGTAGCTTCACCGTACGCATGGAGGTCAGGCGCGGAGATCTCAGGGGTTTCAGGCAATGAATCATGTCGTTTTTGAACAATCGAAGAGCCATCGGGAGGTTATATCCTACGTTCTTTGAAATAATTGCGGATGATCCGTTGATTGAAGGTTTTATTGCGTACTTCAACAATATCGTATAAGAAATCGGTCTTGCCTGCGGGAATACCACCCCACTGCGAAATAAAATTATAATGTGTGCGAAATCGCTGTTTATAAACGAGAAAGGGTTTTCTATTGAGAGGCTGGCAGAGATGAGTTCTATAAGGTCTAAAACAGAAAGGAATGATATCATATTGCTCGCAGAGTTGCAGGAATTCAGCCGTTTTATGGCCCTGGTGGCCGTCAAAGATAAGAATTCGTTTTTCTCCTGCTTGCGTACAATCTTTGGTAGGTTCATGGAAACTCTGAAGCCATTCAACAGACAATTCATCGTTTATATAGCCCGAGAGACAGCAGTCATAAAGTTTGGAAGATTGGGATGATCATACCAAGACTCCATAAATCTCTCACCTTTGAAGATGAAAAGCGGCTGCATAATCCATCCATCTGCAGCAATACACTCTATTGTAGTATTATTTTCTGAATGCTCTGAATGAGGAAGATAACTACATTATTTCCTCTTACTGACTATCTTTCGCTGCCTGCATTGACCAGGTTAGAGTCCGCATTCATCAAAATTATAGATGAGACGAGCAGGGAAATCCTTGACCACATTCGCGAACTAATTATACCAAAATTCTAGGCCTCCAACGTCTTCAGCATCCAGCCGCTTCTAATCTTTAGTTTTCTGTCTCTTTAGGATCATTTTGAGCTGTGGAGGAAGCCTTTTTATAAAGCAATACGCCCACTTCTTATCGACACGTTTTTCCAAGCCTGTACGCGCCAGCGTGAGATTCGCTCAATCCTCTATTATCTGGGGGGTGACGGGAAGATAGAAATCGTCTATATGGGATATCCCCTGCGTTAAAGCATCCTCTTGATAATTGGTAAGGACCTTACTTGCGATTTTGGGACGGGGACGCGCGTGGTGTTGATTTTGAAGTCTCGCGTGGAGCGTACGGTATGGAACTTCGAATTGCCGCGCGATTTCCGGTCTATTTAGGCATTTTGGGTGGTTGGGAATAGCTTCAAAAAGATAAAGAATTGATTATTTTCAAAATCGCTGTGGGCTACCCATAGACGAAGGCGGTGGGTAGACCTACAGATAGGTAGCAGAAAGATTCACTAAGTCTCTAGGAGAAATCAATATTCAACAATAAAAAAAACCGGAAACATTTGGAAAGTAGGATTGTAATTGATAAGTGGAAAAGGGCAGAGTAAAATAAGAATGATAAAAGATTCATTCCACTGTGGGTATAGCAACAAACCCATGCATTGCCTTTTACACTGACGAGCTGACTTACAATCCCACGTCTCCTTGTTGCAACAGGCTATCGTTGACCATTCAACATATCTACGGCATCCTTATGATGAACCCGATCTACAAAATTAATGACCTTCCCAGCCGTACTACTTCGTTCAAAATCACCCAGTCTATCCACAAATACAAGCCGATAAAGGTGTTTGTTCTCCGGCAAGGCCAAGAAGAAATCACCCACAGCCTTGGATAGCTTCTCCTCGTGTACAACCTTTTGGTCCTCAGGCGGCGCTGTCAGAAGACGCACCTCGAGAGTGGTCTGGGGACTCTCGGGCAATCGATCTAGAATAACCTGCCACTGAACAATGGCAAACTCGGCCGTCTGCATGAACTTGCGCAGATTCTCGAACTCGATGTACACGCCGTACCATTTGAAACTGAACCGACGGTCGCGTCCGCGCATGCGCAGCATCCGGAGATGTTGCCGCTCTGTGTCCGGGATGAAGCTCGCGGTCAAGTCTGGGAGAGGCTCGAGCGATCCAACGTCGCCGGTGATGTACCGGACGAGAGGGTTGCGTAGTCGCTGCAGAGACGTCTGCACGATGATCCCTGGCGTCCCCAAGGGCAGAGGAACCGGGAGCTGGGATGGTGACGGGTTATCCATAAGCGACAGGGGCAGGATCTCAATGTGCATATTGCGAGTGTCAAAGATAAAGCTCGCTTCAGTGCCATCTTCGTCGTGACCGGTGAGATCAGGATTACCAATAGCCCAGGGTCCGGCCTCCGCGCTTCCCAGGACAGAGTAAATGGTAGCATGCGGGAGAGTGTTATGTATGAGCGTGCGTTGGGGCCTGGTGAGAGGCTCCGAGGTATAAATAATCTTACGGAGGGCGAGGCGACCGCGTTCGTCAGGAGGCAAGTTGGAGATGCTATGGACAAGCTGCACCACCTGGCTGCCATCCCCTGTTAAGACGGTAACGTGAAAGTGGATCAGAGCTTGAATCAAGTCTTGCTGAGACATATAATTCCCTGCGCTGAGGACTGTCGCCCCGGCGTTCTCTATAACCTCTGTCATGAGATCCAGGGATCGATAGAATCCACCAGACGCGTGAGTAGACATCACCCAGTCTTCCGGTTCAACGATTCGACAAAGACGCAGAAAGCGTCCCATTTCCAGACGTTGTTGACGATTCTCATGTACATCGACCGCAAACAGCATTGGCTGCCCTCCACTTCCACCACCGGTTATACTGAGATAGGAGCTCCGACGGTACGTGTTCTCGAGACTGGTATCTTGGACAAGTCGTTCCACGGCCTGGTAGCTGTGATAGATGAGCAGTCAGGATTGACGTGAATAGATCTAGGAAGCTTACATAGACTTCTTCTCTAAAAGCGGCTGGATCAGGATATCAGAGCCCTGCGGCTTTGTCGCAGATGAGAGCACATGGTGGATGGCATCCGCATCAGGAGGGTACTGGATATCCGCCCGGTAGAAAGGATGAATCTGTGCGATGGACAGAACATCGGCCAACGAATACTGTTGAGGAGGCATTGGGTAGGGGAAAGGTATCGATTGCTAGGCAGGAAAAAAGAGGCAGAAGGTTGGGAAACAAGACACGCATACCTGAAGGACAGAAAGAGTGAATTTACAACCAGTGGGACCTGTCTGGCATATTGCCACGCTGAGTACTCCGCACATGTTGCCCAGCCCAAAAGGGCTTGCGAATAAAAAAAAAAGCAATATATACGGCGTAAGTATGTAATCAATAATGCATGCAGCAAACTCGCGGGGTTTACTAGTGCGCAGTAGGTGAGCTTTGGTTTGCTTTTTCAGAGTTCAGCTCGGAGATTCCACCGGAACGATAGTTAGAGAAAAGTCATGCGTCATGGATGCTCCAGCCTACCAGGACCACTCCGCTGGTCCACTGGATATTGAGCATTAAAGAGCTATAGGGCCTGTGATTAAGTCTCAGCAGGACAAACTGCATCGTGATTAAGCCAGAATGACGGAGCAATCGATCGGGATTTTGTTGGTACGATGTAGTATTGCATTTCTCACTGCGCTAAAAAAGATCAACCCTCCCTAACGAGTGCCCGGTTCGGTCGAGATCTCAAAAATTGCGCCGGTGGCAGCACCTTAATATAAAAGGTGGATCATACTAACAGAATTAGGTACAGTGGGAGAGGGGCGGGCCGTAGAGTTTTATTCCAGGAGTGGGACTTCCACCAGTCAGCAGTCAGAATGCTATGAGCTTCGGAATAATCCCAGAAGAAGGTTGCATTCACAGACCCAGCTGTAGATCGAAGTGTTGATCAAAGTCGGCGAGCAATAGTTGACGACAACCCGAGAACATGGGAGGTAGTGTTTTATGCAGACTTCACACTGTACTGTGCCATGCAATGTATCTTTCCGGCGTGCGTGAAAAGGGTTGAGAGGCAATGGACTATGTCATAAGGTAATTAATTTATTAACTAACTACATTTGGTCTGCGTACTCCGAATCTTCCGAATTGCAGTGTGGACAAGCCATGTTCAATATATTCTGAAGCCAACCGTAATTAAAATGATTCTAAAGGGGATAGTAATTTAAACACGGACCGATGCCCCTCAGGCTATTACGAATGACTGCATAATAGAATCAGATAATTCGCAATATGCAGGGCAAAAGTGACAATGGAGATGCACTTCGTATTGCCACTTAACTAGCTAGGCTATGGGTAAACAGTACCACAGACGATTCCCGCCCTGAAATGCACCAAACCAACGCACGGGAGAAACTGGCGCAAAGGCTGCATACACTACTGCAATAATAAATACCAGAGAAAACACCAATCATACATTTCTCCCCGCAACGTGCGGAAAAGGCACTGGATCCCACCGCACTCGGCGTAGGTGCCGCCGGGGATCCTTGACAGTATTCCGCGCATGCAACCACCGGCGATTGTCCAGTAAAATGATCGAATTCCGTGGGAGGTCGCTTGGTGTCAGATGCACGGTTGACTCAGCATGGGCGTCGTCGGGCTGGCCAAACAGCTCTTTCAGCTCGTCGAGGGCCCTTGCTGCGCGATCGCTGAGAGGCTCGATGATCTCGCCCCGGTAGCGGATAATTGGAGACCAACGAGAGTCCGAGTCTGTCGCCATAACGTTACCCACGATGTGACGCTGTTCTGGTGATTTGATGAACTCGGGAGGAATATGGATCCGATACTCCGGTCGGCTCAAGACATCCCTAGTGGAGTCGGAGAGCAGCTGTGTGAGCCGGTGGACGTTCATGACCGACAGCGTGCCTCCACCGCAGTGATCGGCGTGAAGGACATGCAAGGCAAAGAAGCGAGGCGGACAATCCTCGTAGCTGCAGTCGGTATGCCAAGGGAAGTTCTCCATGGTTTCGGATCGCGCCTGGTGGTTTTCAGTCTGGAAGCTGCTGCGACTAGGCCGCACATCCCAGAACCAGCCCTTCGACGCACTGTGCGAAATAGGAAGCCCGTATCCATGTCTTTCGTGGAGATTGACAACCAGGCGCTCTAGGTAGTGGCTGTTGTCGTCGGTGAAGTCGAGGCTGATCTTGAGAATCCCGTCTTGTTCTAGACGGTCTCGCACTGTTTGTACATGTTGACGGTGGCTGGCATAACTCACATCCCGAGCAACAAGATGAGGCACAGTGAGAGAGGGATGCAAGACAGTATCTTGCGGTGTGATTGCTGCACCGGCTGACGCCAATCCGCGGGATGCATTGAGAGTCAGGCGAGGAGATAGAAATGCCTTTCCACCTGAAAGTCGGGATAGGGCTAACCTCTGGGTGCATGATATGTACTGCAATGGTGCAAGGGACATATGATTTCCAATTGATGCGATCATCTTGTGCACTCCCCGGCAAAATAGTCTGGGTATCTAAACAAAGGAGACGTATGGAGAGCACAAGAGCGAAATGAAAACAGATGTAATCATTCGAAGGAATTCTGTACAGCCATCTTTCTTGGAGGCTTTATACCACTTCGTGAGCCCTTCCCTTAGCGCGAGTTGGAATCCAGTGAGGGACATCTACATGGCTCAAAATCGCAAGACTGACGATAGACTCCGTACACGGGCTCAGTCGCCTTCTGGCTACAAGGGTCTGATGCAACTGCAATTCCCAATTGTCCGGCTGAATATATTAAAAGAGACTAAGAGCAGCGCAGCACACCAACATTAAGGGCGCCATATGTGACGTCTCAGGGCTAGCTGAGGTATTTGAAGACAAAGGATCTTTATTGGATACCATGCAGGCATTGTAACCACACGGGCTCTCCGCGCAATTAATACCACGCAGCCAAGCTGAGTTACCGAAGAGCTAGGACGTGAAGGTGGCGATAGATCGCATATTGAATTTATCAGCCCCCACCGTTTGATTGATTAAATCTTGCCACTCAGAATCAGCGGAGCACCTAGGTCGCTGGGCGAACCATGAGGGTAAGTGATCGGCCAGGACAACTCCCCGAGGTCCCTACTCCAATTTGAACCTGGGAGGCAAATGATTCAGCCTCTGACCAAAGGACATGACATCTTGTGAGACCTTCTTTATGGGGAATATAGTGAATTACAATTTCTGGATAATGGAGGAAATATCCCATAGAATTGATGGACGGAAGGAATATACGCAGTACATGACTTTTCACTTCAAGGAACTTTCAATGATATAGGTACTTCAGATTCTTAATAGAATAAGTTCATTATATGGTAAATGTTTCCATTTCAGTCAAGTCTGATAACATCCGAGAATAACCGAATACATTGAAAAATCGCATCATGAAAGTAGAAAGCGAAGGCTATGGCGCCATGACAGAACAAATCCAAGACCCTCCGTTGCTGACTGCGCAAATGCGATTAGAGCTGGTTCGCCAGATTCCTAAGCCCAGCAGCTGACCACTGGCCGCGTGGTACGTCCCAACAAGGGGCATTCGGTGACGCTCCCCTGATGCTGAAATAATGAGGTCGTACAAGGCTGGAGGAACGTACCGCTGAACTACATAGTTTGTGCAGTTCTTGTGCAAGGTTGCGTCCCGGAGACGCTCTAGGATGCACTGCCATCCTTCGGCATCGAGCTGGTCGCCAAAGAGAATGCCAGCACCTTTGCCTCCGCGAACCGGCTTGAGTAAATACTGCTTTCGCTGCTCGCCATCTTCCTGGCAGGCTTGAATCAAACGCTGCATCTCGGGGGACCCCGGCAGAATCGTATCTGCAATGCCTTTGGTGAGTGCTTCCCCATGTGTCGGAGTGAGCACATTCCGAGCCACCAAGGACGGGATCTCCTGTTTCAGGATACCCAGCATACGCTTGTCGTGGACAAGAAGAACAGTGCGCATATCGTTGAAACAGCGGGTGATGACCTGACGGAGCATTTCTGGCTCCATGGCGAAAAGCTCGCGCTGGTGAAGCTCGAGCCCAACCTGTTGAATTTCTTCAACAAGCTTCCCGTCACTGGTATGCAAGCGAGGAGCGAACGGGAAAACATCTATATCCTCACTCTGGACCAGGCAGCACAGCTTGTAGCCATTCTGACCCTCTGGGCTGTGCACTAGACGTAGATCATCGGGGGTAATGAGCCGGGGTTTTATACCCAAATGTCGGCCGAGAAAATCAATGAACATGTGAATATCCATGCCCGGCTCGGTCCCTTTGAGGAGATGCATTGGACGTTCTGGGTCAAAAAGGCTTAAAAGTCCTTCGACAATCTACCACGTCGCGAAAGCATTGATTAGCACACAGGAAAGTTCATGAACTGACCATTCCGATCATGAGAAGTAGAGATCACCTTTTTCGTGTCCGTCGCATGAGTGATCCCATTCTCGCCAGCCCCAAGAGATTCCAGGGCAGCTTGTCCGTGCAATACATGCATGGTTCCATTGAACGAAAAGCGCGCGTTGATCTCCGTGATGCGAAAGTTCTCGACACCTTCTGGGCTGGCAGAGTCTTCCTCGACGAGAAAGTCCGGTCTCCAGGAGCCCAGACGGTTGCGATACGGGATATTCTGAGTATCGAGCCACTATGCGGACATGTCAGCGACACCAAATGCGCCGTGCAAATAAAAGATACCAACCCGCAGCATGTCTTCCTCGGCTTTCTCAAGAGGCATCCGAGCCGGAAATTTAGCCTCCGAGTCCACCCACCAACGCTCCACAACATCGGTAAGGGCCGTCGCTAATGCCGTGTGAAGGGTAGCGAGTTGTTCCTGATGCTGAGGGGCCCAAAGGATCGGCCGTGGGCAAGCAGCATCGTGAGAGTCATGAGGCCAAAGATGCGAGGAGCATAATCTGAGAAGACGGGCTTGCAACGCATCGTTCTCTTTCTCGTAGAGATCGGGCGTTCCTTCGTGAGAGGAAACAGTCGTCAGGCCCGTTGGGGAAATTCCCAGATGGACTTGCTGAAGTCGCGTAAGAAAGGGAGCCTCCATGTTGTATTGAGTATTCAGAAAGAAAGTGATGCAGATAGACACAGAAGGGTCGTTAGGTTAGGTAGGAAAAAGCAAAACCTTTTGGAAAAAGAGCACCGCATCTTATCTTCGCATGATACGTGCATTTATTTGTATATACCCACTCTCTTAGCTTGTATCTAGAGCGTCAAGTCGAAATTTGTTCCCGATGTACGACATTGGACAAAATTGCCCCAACACGAGATTCTCGTGCTGTGCTGCAGAATTTTCAGCTGCACCTCTGTTGCCACCCAATCGAGCATTAGCCTGAACCCATAGACAGGAGTGTTCATATGAGCTGAAACAGCTGATGGATTAGCGCGAGAGATCGGGCATGCCGTGTGCAGGATGCGGATCCATCAGATCCTTTGAATTCATCTGGCCCCGCACCCATGTTATGTAGAATCTTTAGATTAAAAGAAGTCCATAGCTTGACAGGGGTAATTGCGCCATTGACATCGTGGAGACAGGACGCGCTACCGATGCAAGTGGCTGCTTAGGCCCGTACAGCCTTAGCGCCACACTCGCCCTGCTAGACGACCGAGACAGCTGAACAAGGATCGCCTTCAGTGCACGCACAAGTGCCAACATGCTCGGGTTTTCGAGTTGGGGTGGGTACAGAAGTTCGGTGAGCTCCGTCAAAGGGAAAAGAGCGCCTTCTTATGTCGGGGCCCTGATACACATCAAAGGTACCGGTAAATATTGCAACATACTTAGTATACCCCAACAACCAGTTGATAATCCTCAATACAGTGTCAGGATGTGGGGTAGACATGTCGGAGCACAGTTAGAAGCCATCAAGGAGCGATATCCTCCTCCTCCAGGCTCCATGCATGAGCTCGTCGTTCAAGGGCTAAACGGCGACAGAAACATAGCACTTGATGCATCAGAAGAGTTAGCCAGGACTACCACACCCAGCGATTATAGACCAAGCGACAACCAGTTTTTGTTGATTTCCGGAAGTACAGGACTGGTTCTAGTGCTGCTTCTAAGCCAGTATGCTGGATACAAATTGCGCAGGTGGGTTGCGCGGTGGAAAGTCGGTGATGAACCACTCGCCCATGTCTATATGGATCGCGATGGAGAAGGTGGGGAGTTGAGTAAAACTGCCGCAAAGCGCGTTCTTCGTCTGGCAATGTTCGCTGCTGTCTTCGTCGCCACGGGTCTATCAGCAGTGCAAAGTGGCCTGGCAATCGGCCATTTGCCGACTTTCGCGATCATCGGATGCTGGAGTGAAGTCGCAATTTGGGTAGGATCCCCTAGTTGGTCCGAGAACTAACTCTTAGCTGACCATGAATTGACGCCTCTCAAACATAGGTCCTCTTGCTTCTGCAATTCTCGGCCCTCGCACTGTGCCCTTCGGCGACGGCGTGCTTTTCCTTGTCGTGGAGGGCGGGATTGAGTATGGTGATCAAACTGCTGGTTTACATGGCGCGGATGTACGCTACCATTTCTTTCATTGGTTCGAACTCTATATTCATTGCATTGGCTGGAACCGAAGGAATTATTAAAGTGGCAGTGCTTATATCCTGCCTTTCGATACCCCGCCGTCCAGATGTCTTTCACAACGGGATCCTCGTGGATCGACAATTCACCACAAGCCTTCTCGGCTGGATTAGCTTTTCCTGGGTGGAGAACGTGCTCCAGAAAACAGAGCGATCGAGACTAGAGGTCGATGATCTGCCTGAGTTGGACCACCGCAGCCGAGGAGAAACCGTATACAATATTTGGGAAAGAAATCTTCGGCCTCGCAAGGATGGCAGCAGCAGAGGATTATGGCGGACAATGATATCCTCCAATTTGGTTGTGATCGCCACCCAAATCACCCTGACAGTAATACTCTCGTTTCTTTCGTTTGCGCCGCAGTTTGCACTGTGGCGGATCCTCATCTTACTGGAGATGCCCAAGAGTGCTGCAGTCGAGCCGTTGTGGGTGCCCGTCGTCGGGCTTGGGCTGTCTGTCCTGATATCAGCAACATTCGAGACATGCAAATACTGGATCTCCTACAATCTCCTCGCAAGCAGAGGGCAGCAGCAGTTGTCACTATCGATTTTCGACAAGGCCGTTCGCCTTCCGTGTGTCGCGCCACCAGACAACAGCGAGGGCACACCCAATACCCATAATCCGGTGAACCTACTGGCAGTGGATGTCAAAAATGTGGCCGACTTTCTCTGCTTCTCTTTCCTAATTTATGAGTCCCCACTCAAGATCACCATCGCGCTGGTGTTTCTGATTCTGCTGCTCAGCTGGCGCAGCGTTCTAGCCGGAATCGTCATGCTGAGTCTACTCATGATTGGGAACACTATTGCAGGTAGACGCTATTCGCGCCGCCAGAGAATTTTGATGCAGCACCGCGACAATCGACTGCGAGTTATACAGGAAATGCTCCAGGGCATCAAGGAAATTAAGTTCGCGGCTCAAGAAGGCCGCTGGGCCAAGAAGGTCAATGAGCTGCGTGATACCGAGATGCGAGCTCAATGGGCTATCTGCTTTTGGCAAATTCTGTTCGCCTCGTTGGCCCTGATAAACCCCATAGTGCTGTCCGCCACATGCCTTTCTGTTTTCGTACTGCTCTCCGGCCATCTGTCTGCGGCTACAGCCTTCACTTCTGTTTCGGTGTTGGCTGCAATCGAGGTATCCACGTCGACGCTCCCAGACCTGCTGTCGTTCCTTCTCAATGCCCAGGTCAGCATGCGGAGGATTCAGTCCTATTTATCCCAGCCTGAGCTTAATGTCACCATTCGTCTGTCGAGAGAAATTATTTTCGACAACGTTACAACCGCCTGGCCCGGCTGTCGCAGCGGCCCTGGTACTCTCCAGGGACTCAACTTGCAATTCCCCTCCGAGGCTTTGAGTATAGTGACTGGCCTAACAGGGTCCGGAAAAAGCCTTCTCCTGGCAGCAATCCTCGGTGAGACCGACATACTTCAGGGCCAGATCTCTGCGCCAGTTGCAGATCCATTCGAGCCCATTACTCAATGCCCCAATGCGACGGACTGGTTGACCGAATCAGCCGTGGCTTTTGTCTCCCAGTCGCCATGGCTCCAGAACACCAGTGTGCGCGACAATATTCTGCTAGGTCTTCCGATGAACCACGAGCGGTACGCGCAGGTGGTATTCGCTTGTGCCCTGCACCATGACTTCGCCAGCTTTCCGGAGAACGATCATACGAAGATCACCGGCAAAGGGGCCAATCTGAGCGGCGGACAGCGATGGAGAGTGTGTCTTGCACGCGCAATCTACTCACGCGCAAAGACACTGCTCCTGGATGACATTTTCAGCGCTTTGGATGTCCACACTCGTGAACATGTCTACCAGCACGTCATCTGCAGCGAGCTGTTACAGGGTCGCACTTGCATCCTAGTAACACATCACGTCGAGCTGTGCCGTCCGCACGCCGAGTATGTGGTTCATCTAGACCAAGGAACCGTCATGACAGCGACGACGAACGCGCGTGTCCCGTTGGACGTCTTCCCGGGGGATTCTGTAAACCCTAATTTTGGCCAGGTTAGCGCAAGGACCTTCCAGAACGGGGAGCTCAATCACGTACCTACAGATATGGAAACCTCGAGAACACCAGGTTTGGCCAGAAAACCTGGCACGAAGACACCCAAGGCATCGCAGCAGTCGTCTGCTGTTGCGTCAGTATTCTTCAAAGAAGGGGCCAACGTAATCCAATGGCTGGTCTTGGGAGTGGCTTTCTTAGCCTATGGAGGTCTCATGCTCTCTCGTGTAAGTGCCTGCCGATTTGCCATGAGATGAAGCATGTTTGAACCTTTTGCTAACATCGACAGTCCTGGTGGATCCACACTTGGACCGATAGTTACAATGACCAGCAGGAACCTAGTCTTACGAAATTCACTCGCACAGATCCAGTCGGATATTACCTCGTTGGGTATCTGATTCTTTCCGCGATGGCATGTCTGATGGGCGCATGTCGGACTTATTTTGCCTTGTCAGCCGCCCTGAGAGCTTCGCAACGGCTCTTCCACAAGATGTTATCGGCCGTGCTGCTGGCACCATTGCAATGGCACGACATGGTCTCGTTGGGAGACATCCTAGGCCGGTTTTCAGTGGACATCAACGTCCTGGACGTGCGCATCGGGGACGACCTCAGGGCAACGCTCGAGTACACGATGGACGTAACAATGGCCATTGTCGCTGGCGCCATCGTCAACCCATACCTCCTCGTAATCTCCAGTGTGCTGCTGGTGATTTTTTTCTGGTGCGCACGTCGGTTTATCACCGCATCTCGGCAGCTGAAAAGCCTCGAGAACATGGCCAAGGCTCCCCCATTGGAGCATACAGACACTATCCTCAGTGGCCTCTCGACGGTCCGAGCATTTGGACAAGCTGATGTCGCCACCCGGCATTTCCGCGAGAAGATTGCTCGCCATGCCAGGGCGTTCTGGCACCTTTGGCTTTTGAATCGCTGGTTAAGCTTTCGGATCAATCTCGTTGGGGCTGCCTTCGCTGCCTTATCTGCAGCCATGGTGGTCTACGCTCCGGGAATTAGCCCATCCATGGCAGGCTTTGCCATCACGTTCACGATCGAGGTCTCCCTGACAATGGCGCTTAGCATTCGTCGCTACGTGAACTTGGAGCAGGGACTCAATAGCATGGCGCGTATTCATGCATACTGCGTCGTCCCCGGGGAAGAGATCACGGCCGCGGAAGATCAACCGACGATATCCGATTCGTGGCCGCAGCAGGGGACCTTAGAGGTCTCGAACCTTGCTGTCACTCATGGTCCACATCTGCCGCCTGTTCTACACAGTGTCAGTTTTACAGCATTGCCAGGGAAGAAGGTGGGTGTCGTTGGTCGCACAGGCGCTGGAAAGTCCTCCCTGGTCCTCGCGCTCTTTCGCTTCCTTGAAGCAACACATGGGTCCATCTTGGTCGACGGCGTTGCCATTTCCAAGGTACCACTATTTCAGCTACGCAGTCGGCTCGGCATTATTTCACAGCATCCTGTTCTGTTTAGCGGTACCGTACGTACCAACCTCGATCCGTTCCATCAGTTCGAGGATCATGTTCTCCTAGCTGCTCTTCAAGTAGTTGGTTGGCAAAAGACAAACCCCGACAATTCTGAACCACCAGAAATCCTGTCGCCTGGATCCGATCATTCACTCTCCACGCCAGCAACCAACGGCTCTCAACCTCGATCCGAGCCCAGTGTCCTCGACCAATCCGTCATTGACTGCGGCGAGAACCTTTCCCACGGCCAACGCCAGATTCTATGTCTCGCGCGAGCCATCGTCCGCCAACCCAAGATCCTAATTCTAGATGAAGCGACGGCATCGGTGGATCAAGAGACCGACAATCTCATCCAGCGGAGTCTTCGGTCGGCGTTGATTCAGCGCAAAACAACGTTGCTGGTGATCGCACATCGACTGAAAACGATCGCCGATGTCGACCAAATGCTTGTACTCGATAACGGGTGCATTGTTGAGTCCGGCAGTCCTCGGGATTTACTGCTGCAAGGGAATGGTTTCTTTCGGGGAATGGTGCAGCAGGATCCGGATAGGGAGATATTGAGGAAGCTGATTTTGGGTGAAGAGCCATAGGAGAGGAGTTCTCGAACTCAAGAGGCTAAAGAACTCTGTTAGTTTATACTCTTTGTCCGAAAAGGGTATAAAAACATCTACACGCGGAACTCGATGTGTGCTGGAGGATTTCGACCACAGCGATTGAACGGATTAGAAGGAAGAATAAAGATTCACACAAAATTACCTGCAGAAACGAATTGATTGTTGTATAAGCATTGTATTTTGTGGAACTCACCTATTATCTACTTTGTAGATCAGAAAATTCGATCACGACTCCCTGGAGTTTATCATAGTACATGGCAGGAATGGTTTCTATGGCTCATAAGATTCAGCTGATTTGAATGTTCGTGTGGCCGCGAAAGATGACTATACGGTTCATATCATCGCCTTGCTTGACCGGACCGATTATGCAACAGATCAATATGAACCGTATGCTTTATGACGATACAGATCATGCAATTCCGCTCGTTTTATGACGATCCTGAAGCCCCTGAGATTGCATAAATATCGGCTTCTTTATCGTGTAGTTAGAAGAATTAAGACTTTCATTCATTTCGAGCATGATCATATAAAATGGCTGAATCAGCGCTTCTCAGTAGACCCACAGAAATCTGCCACAGCAGTAAATCGCTGTTTTCTTCTTCTTTCCTCAATTTAGGGTTTCGGAACTAGCCTACAATAAAGATCATTTCTTCATTCCTGAGGTTATCACATGCAATACTGCAGAAGCATCAGGTAAGTTCTGCAGCCGCCGGACGAGGGAACGTCTAGGAAGCGAATCCAGGCACAAATGCCACCATTGGCCTCGCCAAGGCTCAAAGTTCGCCCTGGTGAAGTGGTACATATAAGATTTAGAAAACCTAAATAGCGATAGTAGATGCCTGAATATTGCCGTTAGACAAAACAAGTCCGCTGAGCGCATGAGTTCAGGCGATCTACCAAATAACTAGTGTAATGACGACATAAGAGGCCACAGGTTTCTGTTAAAGTAACCTGATTGATCCATAAGACAGCTCCCAAATTGTAGCCACGGATATCATTCTCCCGTCACGGTTTATAGATTCTGTGATAATGGACAAAGTCAGCAAAATAATAATTCACCGCGTCTACTCTGGTTACACTTACCTTGCGCAACAAACATCAAGGATCGTCCACAACAAAGGCCTCGAACTGGTACCAGAAGCGACCCAAAAGGACTTTCTTTCGACGGACCATTAATGCAGAAATTGAAAGTAATTAAGGACTTTTCACTTAAGAGTGACTAACCGAGGTTGCTAGAAAGGGAAGCCCTTTGCGAGTTTAAATAGTCTCAAGGCATTATCTTTCTATTTCAGGGTATTAGTTTGTGGAAAAAATACCGCTGCACTAAAAAGGGTCAACCCTTAGTAGTAAGAGCTTATTTATAGTGCATATCCGCGGCGACATAGTTTAAAAAGCAGTCAGTGAGTCTGTCAGAGGCGTTCGAGATTCTGGAGACCAACAAGGATCCCGAGAGCCACTCTGGGTTTCTTAAGAGCTACGATTCCTTTGTACCACCAAGCGTAAGCTATGATATCATATCACTGATTTCCATTGCTACAGCCATTCTCCAACTACAGCAAGCTCGTAGGCGAGAAATATGTTGAATCCTAAGCGTGAGGAAGAAACAATACTAATTACAGTAGTCGAAGAAGCTTTCTGTACGTGGCTTAGTCAGCCGCAGAGGCGTTTTCTGCCTGAGGGTTCAGGCAACAAACGCCGTAGCTCGCTTGGGATCCTGGCAATGGTTGTTAGTTGTCACATCCGTGCGAACTTTTGGTATAACATCTACTTACACATGTACTACGCATTGACTACCATGCCAGCTATGATTTTCGAAGCTTATTCTTTTACTTGATATTGTTGATCCTCAGCATTATTCGTTTTGATGGGGAAACATTGGCATGTTATTCTACTCGGTAGGTATTCAGGATCGAAATTCAGAGAATGCCTATAATGGACTAGCGCTATTTGACGTTCCGAGGATTTCTTGACTCTTAGGATATCTAGGGCTACTCCCATGAACATCTGGGCTTGTGCTGTCTTTTGACATAGAAAGTCCATGAAAATGTTTGCCAGGTTGGTGCAGCGTGGTAACTACAGCATTTTCCTACTGGGAAAACGGCCGTAGGCATCGGAATGAATAATAGCTTCCCTTATTCGTCATTTTCGTGATGACAATGCTGGGTTTTTTTGGGAGTGTGACGGGCAAAAGTGGACTAGGAGTAGAGAAACGGGCAAGGGGGGAAATCGATTGAGGTTACTCACTCAGGGCACTCAGTCTTCCGCTCACTCCGTACTCAGTGATCGCCTCAGGCCACTCAGGGCGTGCTCAGATCTACCCAGTGAGCAAAAAGCGGCGACGGGTGAGCACAAAAACGGAAAGAGAAAGCCTTCGCCCTGGCTAGAAAATCAAGTACATGATTCAATTTCTTGTTAGAATACCGAGAATAGGTACCAGTCCCATTCGTCCCATAACTCATCGTATGTAGATAGTTCCACCAGCATAAAACCCAACAGACCAAAAACTTCAAGCCCCCTGTCCAGCAGCAGCTACCTTCGCGCGCCTCGACTCCCGCCCCTTCTCCGACCACGGGAAATGCACCACCGGCACAATAAAGAAACTATTACTGTCGTCCGCAATACCCGCAAAGGCATTATACCAGGCCAAGAAAGAGCCCAGCAGCGCGAAGAACCCGCCCGACTTCATCAGGTTCTTGTTCGGTGCGCCGTCGGCGCCGCGGTGGATATACCCCACTGCCAGCAGAAGAAGAGCGATGTCGACGACGAAGAAGAGCGTGAAGAACGCGAATGTGGATTTGAGCGTGCAGAACAGCATGAGGGTTGTGAAGATGAACCAGCCCTATAGTGGAGGAATTAGTTACGTTACGTATTAGTTAGAGAAGAGGGAGGTGCTAGGACAAGATGGTAGAGGAGGTTTAGGCTTACCATTAACATTAGGCCAAATGAGTCGTAGAACATGGAGGGCTTCCCATTAGCGGCTTTTTCCAGGGCGCCCATGATTCCGAACCCACCGGGCGTGAAGGTGATGGCGAGGGAGATCCAGAATCCGCCGTAGGAGGAGAGAACGGTGGCTCCGAAGGTGTTTCCGACGGCCATTTCCCTTTTATTCGGTTAGATTTCTCATTTTCTCTTCCCTGACTCGTGTTCACGTCATGAGGAATGGACAGGAAACATACCACATGCCAGCTAAAAGCTGAACCAATCCACCATACGAGAATGCCAATCCGACGATGATATTCGGCTCGGTGATATCCCGCACATTCATCTCGATGCACCCCAGCACGAATGTGGTTAAGGCGAAAGCGCAAAGACCCAAAGGCGCAGGATTAGCCGTCTTGCGGTTCTTAGGGGACCGATAGAGACCGGGCTGGAATTCACCGCCGAAGGCGGGCAGTGTGGTCTCTGCGGTGTTGACATGCGCGAGGGGCCCAAAGTGGCCGTAATCAACGTGGGAGGAATGGGTTGTTTGTGCGTGGGCCAGGGGAGGCGATGAATCGCTGTTGCTGGCGTCGGTGGTGGTGTTTTTCAATTCATATTTCTCGGGGGAGTCTGTGGGAGCGGACATTTTGTCTGACTGGCTCGGTAGTTTCGAAAAGGTCGATGGTTGCTGGGTCACTGATGGGGAGGACCGAGAGGATTATATAGATTCATCATTTTTGCCCTGTTGCCTCTCTGCACAGGGACAGATAATGCGGGGAGACCTCAAAATATCGACCAGATTCCCGAATTCTGCAAAGATCTCCCAGAAATGATGATGAAACGACTCGCCTCTCAGCGGCACTTTTGTCGGGAGCGAAACATGGACAAAATTGGTATTCAGATAAATCACGGTAGACGAGAAACATAGGTAGTACCCCAGGGACCAGCTCAATAGCCTCTGTAGATCTTCCACTCCCAAGCTGAGTGAGTATCCACTTTGACTCGCGATTCTCGCACCTATGGAAAGTTTAATCCAGCGTACCCAATCTTGGCAGTTGGTACAGGCAACGACCTGGGGGTTTCTCCGCATTTGATACCCCGGGGATGCGCTGATACGGGGTATATAGATGGATCAACATGCGGGGAAAGGAGATATGGGATTACCTGTATCACCTAACTAGGCCTACCTTTCTTCTGTCCATTGGGTACGCTCCACCGGAACCCAAGGAACCAAAGGCAACTTGTATGGCTTAGGGCAAAGATTCCTTGGAGTGGATGAAAATAATTGGAGAGATCCAAGGTTGCGGATAGAGAGTTAACTCTAATTGCTGCAACGTGTGGGGAATCGCCATCGTCCCTTGTCCCGGGGCTGGTTGTCGGCAGTTGAATGTCTGCGGTGGCACGAAAATTGCCTTTGAAGCCAATCTAAACTTTTTTCCTGCCGAAAATTGAAGCCGCTTCCGCGCTGGATTCCGCACTGCACTGTGCCTTGGAGATGGTTCTCGACGATGATGCTGCATTTGACTCCGACCTATGGGATAAGTTACACATAAGATCTATGTCTACAATCGATACAACCACAGTCAATCATCCAATTCATCTTATAATCTAATCAAACAAAGCAGCAATCTCCGTCTCATACAATGCCAGAGTCTGCAACCGTGCCACGCTCGTCTTGATCGTCAAAACAAACGGCTTCTCTTCCTTGGTGAAGATCAATCTCGACGGAGAGAGCTGCGCGGAGTGATGGCACAGCGCATTGACCTTCTCAATATACGACTGGAGACTTTCCACCAACGCCGGATCATTCTCGGCACCGGGATTCAACTCGACCAGAAGAACAGGCGCCGGGTGCCCATGCCCACCGATCAGGGCGGCCTTGACGTTGGGATGGGCGATGATTTCCGGTTCAAGGAGAGAAGCATGCAGCCCGTCGCCGTGGGCCAGGGGAACGTAGTCGTCGGTGCAGCCGATGATGGACCAATGACCCTTGTACTTCGGGTGCTCGATCCACAGGTCATTCGTTTCAAAGGTGTTGCGGTCCGGATAGACCTGGAAGATCTGCTGCATTGCGTATTCGGGCCGACGCACGAAAACCAGCTCGTGGAGAGTGCCTATGCGATGGTGGAATTCGGCACTGGAATGCTTCTGGAAGGCGAGGTAGTACTAGGCGTCCTTCTTGTCGTGGAGGACGGTGAAGTAGCCGCCTGATTCGGTGCTGCCGATGCAAGGGACCAGGTGCGTATGCTGGGCCAGGAAGTCCTCCGATTTGCGGGAGAGAGGGGCCCCGGCATAGTGGACGTACTTGAGCTGACAGAGAGCCTGGCGACCTTTGGGCGAGAGCCAGAGTGCGTCGATGAGAGAGGGGAGCAACTGGGCGCCATCGATCTTGCCGTGACGGAAGATTTCGACCAGCAGCTCGGGAGACGGAGATGATGGGGGCCCAAAAACGGATGTCATGTGCACGAAGCCGGTCATGGCGAGGCTCATCATCGTACCGATGAACCATCAGTTGGTCAATATGATGAATCGGAGGGTAGAGATTTCGAATGTACATGCATCGACGGCAAAGGTGTATACCATCTGCGTTGAGCGTATTGATGAAGATAATTTTCCTCAACATCCGGTAGAGTGGCCGCGACTTCGAAACCGGCACACATCCGATGCGTATAGGTAACTGCCTTTAGGTTCCCTGGTCATAGTCAGCTATATAGTTTCCAAATAAACAGAGCACGAAAAACACATACCTGTGGTGCCGGAAGTATGATACACCAGCCACGGATCATCCTTTCCTTCCCCCCATGTCTTCCCATAAACCACGGGCACGGCCTCCTCATCTCTCAGGAACTCCTCAGAACTAGGAACCGTGATTATTACCACATCCTCAACCGTCTTTAGGATTTCATCCACGGGCGCGGCCATCTCCACCGGCCTCAAATACAATTTACAGTTCTTCTTCTCCAGAAACCGTAGGTGCGCCTCCGGTGCGATCAATGACAAAAGTAGAACCATCTAGCACATATACATTAATTTCTGAACGATATTCAAAAGCCAAGGCCAAGGAAGTAGACTAGATATACCACTTTCTGCACCTTCGCCGCCGCAACGGCAAGGATGGGATATCATAGATCCTTGGGCCCAGAGTAGGCGAAACATTGAAACGGCTCGGTCGTGGCCGGAAGAGCCTGACTGAGCCAGCGGGCAGCGTGGTTTGTGGCGTTGTTCAACTGCCAAAAACTGATGTCTCGGAAGCCAGCGGAGAGATCATCGTTGTTGACAGGCAGTGAGATCCAGGGCTTAGTGTCAGGACCGTCTTGGGTGCAGGATTCGATGACGCTGGCTAGGATGCGTTTGCCGTGGGTGACGCCAGGAAGGGGGAAGGTTGTAGAGACCATTCTGTCAACGAGAATAATGAGTTCAACTTGAAATCATATAAAAAGGCGAGAGAAAGGAGGGCATGCCAGTTTGATCGCTGCACTATAAAGGGTCACCTCTCCTTAGCGAAGGGTAATTAGTGCTTATATCCGTGCGGCCACAGAAGGGTATCCCACAGAGGGGTATCAAGACCAAAAAAGCAATGGGGGCCAGGGGCCAAAAGCCTGGTGTCTTATACCCCGGTATTTAGTTAGACAGTGCTGGTTGGTAAGGTCGATAGATGTTTGTGGTGGAGAACAGACCACCAGTAGGCAAAAACATTTCCGAAGTATTTAAATGAATTGAAGACTTTCCCGTATTAGCTCACTCTACGATAGATCTTACATATGAAGTTGGATGTTTATAAGAATGCAGAGTAAATTATCGGAAATTTTAGACTCGAGGGTGGTTCCTTCGGTATATTGGAGACGATGAGAGTTAAATCGAGGGAGTTGGTAGCGAGGTAATCCTGAGTAATTGATTCTGAGATCCTAACTCTAGAGCTAGTTTCTGAATCGATTCAGCCTCTCAGGAAGTGGATATCCCCCGATGCCAATCACGAACTCAAAGTCCCCTGTCACCAGTCCTAAGGCATCATCTCCCATCCATTGTCCCATCAGACCAGCTCTCGTCAACTCCAGCTCGCGTCGAAGTTTATGAGCAACCTGCATTCAGATTAGTCAAGTCACAACCGAAAACTTGGAAGAAACATTAGGTAGAACATACCAAAATACAGCTCCCGCCAAGGATCGATTTATCGACCGAGCACTGCGCGATGGCCTCCCCCATTGCCTGTGGCGTGCTTGTCTCATAGCCAGCTTCCTTCCATGGCTCGCACAAAGCCGCTGTCAGACGCGAAGGGGTCAACGAAGGCGCGATGGCCGTGAGACGGATGTTGTTCTTCGTTGCCGCCTTGTGTGCATCGCGAAGGAGGCCAATGATCGCGTGCTTGGAGGTGGTATAGGCTGTCAGGTCGGCTCCGCCACAGTAGCCCGCGATTGAGGAGACCATGATAATGGATTTGGGCTCGGAAGTGCCAGGCAGAGATTTCATGTAATGCATAGCCAGTCGCAATGCTGAGATCAATAATCATTAGTATAGAGATCCTAGCAAGAATATGAGAGAGAGAGAGAAAGAGAGAGAGGGCGGGGGAGGAAGCCACATACTATTAAACGTCCCCTTCACGTTAACATCAATAACCTCAAACGCTTCCTTGGACTCCATCAACTCCCCCTTCTCATCTATTTCATCTAGTTCAAGAACACTCTTGGACTCCATGATCCCGGCATTCGCGACGACCGTATCGATAGAACCAAACCGTTTCACAGCCCACTTAAACAGATCCTGCATCTGTTCCCAATCGACGATATCTACCGGGACGTACATCGCGCGTGAAGGGTGTGGAAGCGAAGCGACCAACTTCTCCGCGAGGGGCTGAGAGGCTGGGACATCAGCAATGACTACATTCGCGCCATGCTCGTTGAAGATCCTGGCTGTTGCGGAGCCAATGCCGCCTGCTCCACCGGTGACGATAACAGTCTTTGAGGCAAGACCGTGGAGGGATTGCTCATCGAAGTCAATTTGGTGCATGATGAGAGAGAACAATAGTAGATAGTGATTTGAGGAAATAGTGATATGGGAGGAATCTAAGCAAGTCAGTCTGGACTGAGTGACTTGGTGCCTTTTTATCCCCGTTTTCCTACATCACATGGAAGATGAAAGGTGCGAAGTGAATATCTCGTGTGGGCAGCGAGCGGGACTTTCCTGGGACTTGCAGGTCCGAGGCAGAGTTAACTACGTGGCACGAAGCATATTTGGTCGGTATACTTCTCTTTCTGGAAGCTGGATGCCTCAAGTGGATCAATTGTATGAGGAGCGGGGCAAATAATCATAAAGAAATGAGAAAGTAAAAGAGAAAGATTAGGCGCGGTGGCGAGTCAGTCAATCGGTCTTTCTTTGTCTCCTTGCTTATATTCTGACGAGAATTCTTGAGTTTCTTTTGGCCTTTCCATTGGAGATCAAGAGCATCAGCTGAAAGTTATAGGGTAACTAAGTTAACATTGCTGACTAATCGACAGGACCTATATTTGTATGACATAAATATGATTGAAAAGTCTTGTGCAATGACACCGCAAGGTTCCCTGGAAGTATAAATACAGAGACGTTGTGCGACCACATCTAATAAGCCCCAATAAGATTTAAGCTCATCCATGTATCTTGCCTAGTTAGGAAACACAAATGCGAACCGTCACACACCCAGGTATCCAATGTTGCTTTGACTGTCTACAGCTCATGCAGGCAGGAGCTGCTCGGTCGAGGGCAACGATGCAGCAGAACGAACTCATGCACCCACAAGAATAGGGCTGTGTTACTGATTGGCAAAATTGTTTAATGGTCAATGCTAGCCGATACGGGATAATGCGGCTTGCTTGACGTGGCAGGTGGTCCAGATATCCCTTACTGAAGTTTACGTACCTCAAGGGCTGGGATACCCCGCCGGCTCGTGAGGCTAGCTGAAAAGTAGAGATTCTATCCCACTCTTGGCTTATTCGTTGTCAACTGTATGTGACCGCTAGTTACATAGGAGACCTTCCTATTCCAGACATCGGTATTGGTAACTACCGATCCCCGAGGATTATGCAGATTTTTCTGTTATTTCCATGGTTCAAAAGTTATGTCTCTTCTAACTGCCTTTTTAGGCTAGATTGCTTATTATTCTTCATGTATTTAAACCACCGTTTGCAGCTAGATTGAAAGAATCAGATCTTCATCATTCGATATTCCTAAGTGTACATTACTAGCAATTACGCCTAGAGAGACGGCCAACATTCGTCGAGGTTTTCGCACCGAGCGTCCTTGGCGCAAATGGTGGCTTGCACACGCCTCTCGCGTTGTTTGATATTCCTTTAGAGACGACCAGTGGTAGCAAGTTTTGCCGAGGAGGTGTTCGCATAAGCGCACTAGTGCTCGATCATGTCCCCGGTTTTGTCCAGTCGGTGCTTAGTGACTACGTCCACGTGGGTCGAAATGGCGAACGGTGGAGTCGTATGTGGTTTATCTTAGCGCAATTCTGATGATATCCGGGATCTAGATCATCTATTCCCTCCAAAGCCATGCTATCGGCTAGACTTAGGTTTGCTGTATCAGTGTTATGCACTTGTCGAGGGGGCTTATACCTAGGCAGACGAGAAAAGAGCCAAAACTGATTTCCTATTCTAGCATTCTGGCTGAGGCATTCACTCCCGTTGCGCCTGGGAACGCAGACATCTTCCTCTTCTCTTACCTGTCTTCATCTTCCTTCCTCTCTATTTCCTCTCCCTTTATCTCAACCCCTCGTCATCCTCACTTTTTGCCTCGTATCTCATCTCAACCATCAATGTATTGAGACAGAATTTGACCATTCTGTTTCCTGCTTGCCTCCCCGTCCTATTTCTGCTGCTTCTGGGAAGGTTGTCGTCACATAGCCCCTTAAGAGCTAAAATACCGGGTTAAAAATGAGAAAATCAGAAGCACAGCAGCCACTGATGAACAACATCACCGCTGCCGCCCAGTTTCTTGGGCTAGTTGCACTTGTTACTCCAGTCTTGGGCATACAACTCGTGATTTGCAGGGAGAAAAGGATAAGATCAAAAAAAGTCATATGTCTCCAATTTCACCAAGGTCGCTCTTTGTTGCTACCTTTGCGTTGCTGCTGGCCCTCTTCTGGTGTTTTGCTGCATCGTCAAATTGTATGGTCCTCTTAATTTCTCTCACAAATTGGAATGTCGTAGATGCTAGCTCCTTCTGGAACCTTACTTGCTCTTTCTATCATATCGTCCAAGTAGGGCGCGCCCTTGGTTGCTATACCCGAGTTGTTGAAATTCTCTTCTCTGCTTGGTTTCCTGGTCATAATCTGGGTGGTGAATTAACCCAGTGTTCAACATAGTATATTAAACCTTCGCTTTATCATCGGAACCGTCTTATCGTCATCCTCTAAAGCCTCGAAAACGATCTCCGGGACTTAGATAGGATTTATATGGGATGATGTCTCCTGTCTGATCGGCTAAGTTGTTACCAGTAATATCCCGAATCGGAATTGACGCTTTCAGATGCTTGAATTAGCGGCCGGTTGCTAATGCAATCGCGCATTGTCGATGCCTGAGACCAGTTTTCAATCCTTATATGAATTTTTACCTTACATATTTAGTTTAGAACCCTACCAAAATCAAGAGCAATTTCCGCTGTAACGAAAGAAGATAATAACTCGTGAATAGTGGTGTGATTGGTAGCTGTATGGGATAGTGATGGATCTGCAAGCTGTCTCTCAAAAAAATTTCACGTCAAGGGCTCAGGTATACCGCCTGTCCCAGTTTCATAACGGTATCCATAGAGTCCCATATACTCCCGATAATTCGACTCAACGACTAAATCATACGGCACGTCCATCAGATCTGCGGGGACGATACGTCGAAACACATTATGCCACGGCCTCAGCTGCGGTCCCTCAGGTCGACTCTCTCTCTCGATCACGAATCCATACAGACTCACCAGCGCTATGTGCATGTCCTTTAGGAGCAGCTGGAAGACGGGATCATAATCCTTAACCATGTCGGGATAGAGCATGTGAATCTCCCAATAGTATCTGTGGAATTCGAAAAAAGAACTGTCGTTTTGCGTGAGGGCCGACTTGATCCACTCGGCACGAAGTCCACAACGGTCATTATCGCGGGGGTAATTCCAGAAGAATCGATGCGAGTGGAGCCAGCCGTTTATGGACTGGGTGACTCGTAGGTTGTTTTCGAGCCCTGGACCCTGAGTCACAAAGGGCAAATCCATCATAAGCTGCTGCAAGTCAACCTGATAGAACCTCATGTAGAGGCTCTTAATCTGGTGCAATGCTTCAAAAGGACGACGCAGCATATTGTAGCCTGGTCGGGAGGATGGTGTTATCGACGCCGCACTGCCATTGTACGAACAATGTCGAATGAATAACCCTGGAGTCTCGAATGCTGGTTTGAGCATTCGAAAGATAAGCGTGGCCTTAACCAAAAGCATAAACATTTGTTTCGGAGACTGCGATCCGGCTCCTTGACGATCACCTCCAGCATGCGGAGTCGCCAAAATGGAAGGTTGACAAGGCCTGCAGAATTTAATTCGAACGGGTCGGTGATTTTCCAGACTGCAGATCTCACCATCGTCCTGTTGCTTGGCCAATCTGGTTCATAACACCGGTAGATGACCGTGACCCACTCGCGCCCATCCGGGCGAAAGTCGATGGTTAACATCGAATTTTCGTATAACAGCGCTGTTATCTCGTCGTGGAGAAACCTGCTGGCTCGGAGTATTCCCAGGTCTCCGTTTCGGTAAGCTGGCCTTGAGATAATTATCTCGTCTCGGGGCATCAATTCCTCCCATATCAGCGCGCGTACCCTCGGAGGAAGATGGACAAAGTCTCCCTTGCCTAGCCGCTCAGGCCGATTCAAGTCCGTTCCGTTGTTCATCCTTGTCTTTTGTGGAATTGAAAATGGGTGTCGTTCTGATGATAGAAAGGTTCAAAGGTTCTTAGAGCGGCTATTTGCCGAAAAGGAAAGGTCGAAAATAGTGATGATCGACACAGGTAGCGAAAGAAGATAATGATTCGGTAAATGTTGGGTTGACAGCGGTATGGAATAGTGATAGAAAAGAACTATCCCGTTGAAGAACCGTTATTTTATCCTCCCAGGGCCGCTCGCTATACTCCTGACTACCTGGTACCTGCCTAGTACGTACCTACCCAGCTAAGAGATTGAGCAAAGTGGCCAATGAGCAACCGAGGGTCTGCAAGATGTCTGATATCATGGAAGACATGAGGAATCAGGTTCCCGATCTGGAGTCAACAAAAGCTTAGGGCACCACGCGACGGTACGTACAATCTCTTCCTCTGCGGCTGCAGGAGATTCTTGGGATTTCGCACCACCGCTGACTTTGTCTTCGGCCTCTGCGTCGAACTTCACCCATGCTGGATCCAGAACCCTTTCGCGGTTAGCACCGGCAGGACCACTTCGCGCTTCGTGGCGTCATCGAACATGGCAAAGTGGTCGCCCCATCTAGTGCCGTGAGGATATAGTCGGATAGCACGCTGTCGCCCGATTTGAGCTTCAGCGTGTCGCCCTTGATTTCATTACTCCATACAGCTATCATCCCAGCATTTACCGAGCTATTACCTTCTGTCGTTACCTGTGAATTCCACAAACGACAAGAATAAACAACGGAACAGACTTTGAATAGCTAGTATACCTTCAAGGCCTCGTCCGGCCCCTCAGCGTGCCTCGTCCGCAGACTCTGCCCCTGATATAGGCTTCAATCCTTCTGACTCAACGAGATCAGGATTCAACACCGCCCTCCGTAGGCACTGAGGCCCAGCCAGAACCTCAATTTCGGCTGGTGACTGGCCCCAGACTGCTCGAAAGGGGTGGTCATTGAACCGGACATTTCTATATTTGTGCGAGAAACTCGCTATCCTTTCCGTCATGATTATACACCAGATCCCTTGGCGGTAGTATGCAGTGGCTGCCTCCAGCTGCTACCATTATCTTCTTTCGTTACCTGTGTCGATCATCAACATCTCCGATAAGAATAAACAAAGGAACGGACTTAGATCGGCCTGAGCGGCTAGGCAAGGGAGACTTCGTCCATCTTCCTCCGTATCGTCCCCGCAGATCTAATGGACGTGCTGTATGGTTTGTCGAGTCGAATTATCGGAAGTATATGGGACTCTATGGCTACCGCTACTAAAACCGAGACAGTCAGTCTGGCTTTAGGTTTTGATCTTATTTCTTTGTTTTGGCCGTGAGAGTTTGATGCGTACCGATAAATGACCCTTACTATTTGCTATAATAGACAGGGGATCAAAGGGTTGACTAAATCTTGAATACCAAAACTACGAATTCCCCAACCTGGCTTCCTCCTCCTCTTTCTCCTCCTGGTTTTCTTGTCGACGAGCTCGCCACCCGTATTGGGTATGTCGTATCGGTGCGATGCACTCACAAGTCGAGGGGGCTTAGACCTAGGAAGACCAGAAAAAGAGCCGAAACCGATATGGTATATGCCCATTAAAGTTAGAATCTAGGAGATCAAGACGAGCCTGCAGTGATTTCATATTCTGTCGCTCTGACTGAGGCACTCACCTCCCGTTGCCACCTGGAGACCCAGGCACCTTCCCCATTTCTCTTTCCTGTCTTCATCTTCTTTCCTCTCTATTTCCTCCTCCTCCTTAGAATTTTATCATTCTGGTTCCTGCTTGTCTTCCAAAACTATGATTCCCCTGAGCTGCCTTCCTCAAGATTTATGAATCATATAGTTCAGACTAATGGAATTCGCGGGGACCCCGACTTTCCGCATGCGGGTGTCGTGCCGTCGATCTCTCCGGCCGCATCGCCGAATGCGATTCTCGACTTGGACTCATCCCATCCGAAAACCCCAAAGAGAGTAGAAATTGACAGAATGATTAGATCTACGGTGTCCAGATCCCCTCAATTCCCAACAGCTCATCCGAAGTCGGTCGCCACTCCCGAAAGGCCCTTAAGCCGTGTCCATCCTCCGACGCCATCACGCCATCCCGACCATGAGTTGCACATCGACGACCAACGACGCCTGCTGATTTCCCCGGTCTGATCGTCGTGCTTAGGCTCTCTTGGCTGCGCCACGACTGACTGGTCTCTCTGCCCGATGACCGACCGTGCCGCATAATCCCTGTCTGCGGTCGCTGATTGCTTGTCCGAAAGAAGGTTACTTAGGTCGGCTGTTGGATTTAATCTCGGGGTGGAGAAGAGACACAGAGAGAGAGAGACTGCGTGGTTTGATGTCCCCGCAAGCTCGCAAGCTTCTTTTCACCTCCTAGCGCTCCATACGTATTCCTTCTCATAGGTGTTTGGATGGAGGTCTAACGCGTGGACGGCGTCTCGACTGGTTCTGTATCACGCAACGATAGGGGGCGGTTTTCGTTGCTTTTTTGGGCTGCGTTGGGTTAAATACAGCCTTGGTCTACCGGGCTTCACCGGTATTGACTTCATTTCTTGTTTCATACTTAGGCTATTTAGGATTTAGGTGTGTGTATAGGAGATGGGTCGAAAATTGGGCCTCTTCCGGGCCATTTACCTGGTATCCGCCAGTTGTATGGGATCGTTCGCTTTTGCGTTTGATACGGGTGTTATCAGTATGACCGTCATTCTCCACCCCATGACCTTGTTTTACTGACACTGACATCGATATAGGCGGTGTTCTGACTCTGGAATCATTCCAGAATGATTTCGGATACGGCTCCAAGCAGCAGACCTCGGTCAATTCCAACGCCGTGTCGATCCTGCAGGCGGGCGCATTTTTCGGCTGCTTCTTCACGATGCCCATCGCATCGAGACTGGGTCGTCGGTCGGGTCTCATTCTCAGCTCCATGATTTTCAGCGTCGGGACCATCTTGCAAGTCATCAATGCGCATACCCTGGGCACCTTCTACGCGGGACGGGTCATCGCTGGCGTGGGGATCGGGGCGGCGACCGTGCTGATCCCCATGTTCGCGGCGGAGATGTCTCCGAAGGAAATCCGTGGCCGATTAGGCGCTTGCTTTCAGCTGTTCTTTGCGCTGGGCGTCATGATAGCTTATTGGGTTACGTTTGCCGTGTCGAAGAATCAGCCGTCGGCGACGAAGCAGTGGCAGATTGCGTTGGGGCTGCAGCTGTTGCCCTCGACTCTGCTGCTGGCAGGGATGTGCACGGTCAAAGAAAGTGCCCGATGGCTGGCAGCCAAAGGGAAAACCAACAAGGCGTGGGAGTCGTTGAAATGGGTCCGAGGTGGCGAGGAAACGGAGGAGCTACGACAGGAATTTGACGAGATTCTCGCCGGCATCGAGGAAGAAGCGCGCGTACGAGAGAATCTGACCCTCCGCGAGCTCTTCCTCCCGGTGAACCGGTACCGATTGTTCATCGCCGTCACCATTCAGCTCTGCGCGCAGCTGACCGGCAATACCTCGCTGGCCTACTACGCCAACCAGATCTTCTCGGCCGTCGGCGCCGGCAGCTCCGCCAAGCTGGTGACGGGGTTCTTTGGGGTGGTGAAAGTATTCGGAGTCAGCATCTTCCAGCTCTTTGTGATGGATCGCATCGGCCGACGTGTGCCGTTCATGGCAGGCGCCTTCGCCATGGGGTCGTTCATGCTCATCATCGCCTGCGTTCTGGCCACGCATCCGACCAGCGCTAGCGGCGAGCAGTCCGGGGCCACCAAGGCGGGCATTGCCATGATCATCATGACCTACGCGGAGGCGTTCAGTTTTAACATGTCCTGGGGGCCGCTGCCCTGGCTGTACGTAGGCGAGATCTTCTCGAGTCGCACGCGAGAAATCGGCGTGGCGGTGGGAGCGGCCTCCCAGTGGCTGTTCAATTTTATGATGTCTCAGGTGACGCCTCATGCTATTGACAATATAGGGTGGCGGATGTTTTTGATGTTTGCCATCTTCAACTATGCGGTGATCGTGTATTCGTGGTTCTTTTTGAAGGAGGTATGTCAAGTGCTTTTTCTAGGGACATGAACAGCCTCGCTAACACAGATCAGACCTCGCAACATTCTCTCGAGGAGATGCAGGAAGTCTTCGGCGGCGAGCCGCAACCCGACAAGCTCCAGGTCCAGGAAGAGCAAGGCGCGAAGTAGGAGCGGGGAGTATGTCCAGGTCATCCAGGCACCATAAAGAAGTCTTTGTGCTTCACGTTGCACACGCCCGCGCTAGCCCTAACATTCCCAGTCCCTCTGGCGGCCTTCATTGGCCCTCATCCCGCTTCTTCTCTCCGCATTTCCTTTCTCCGGACTTTTTGCGATCAGCCGTTTAAACCCTCCGAAAACTCGTGTGATTGCCAACGTGTCTTCTTACTAGCCTTGTTGATTTTTTTCTTCTTTCTCCTTGGCCTCTTGCCTGCGTCTTTGTCGTTGGTCGGCGGTCTATATCGCTCGGGGGTTTAATTAGATCATTGCCGTGGCTTTTGGCGCCTGCCTACCAGCCTTGTCTGTCTGTCTTGCCTGTGTTGGATGAAGGACTGGTGCTGATCTTCCTTCCTTCACACATCTCCAATCATGTCCATAAACATGCGATAAGACCGCAATAAACTAAGTCCATTCATATTCATAAATCTATACCTAATATTCAACTCGGAATGGCCGAAAATCCCAACGCCCGACCCAGTGACCCGGACGGACTGGTGCTCGAAGCCTGGGGTCAGGGTTTGATGGTGGGATCGCTGGTGGTCATGGCGGCTGTGACGTTTTCCAACATGAAGCCACGCATTTTGCTGCATAAGTTGATTTTTGCCGAAGTTTGCTCTCTCTTTTTTTCCTAGCTCAATTCCCCCTTCTTACCTTTACTTCTACATACATCTATCCATCCACCACCCACATAAACACCCAATAATTAAACCAAAAAAAATGATAGTTAATCCTCGCCATGCCTCATGGCACCTTCATCTTCGCCAACCCCCCCACATACGGCTGGTACCTCTCCGTCAGCGCCATCGGGCTGAACATCTCCTGGAGTCTGCACAACGTCATCGCGTGGATGAAGAACAAGCCGTTCTTGTCGACGCGCGTGTCCCGCTTTTACATCGTTACTGTCATTTTGGTCCAGCCGTACTGGGTCCTGGAGATTTATGCGAATTTCGCGTTTTTTAATAATTTTAATGAGGTGTTTTTGAAGACGAGGCCTTGGGAGCCGCTGTTTCGGTAGAGTTCCTTTTCTTTTCTTCTTTTTCCTTTGTATCGAGTTCACAGATGGGTGATGTGATTGAGATGAACTGGGAAGAAAATGGGATATCTGTTCCAGATATCGATATTCCCATTCAAACATGAAAATATGAAAAAAAAAAAAAAAAAAAAAAAAATGAATAGAAGCTGATCAACAAGGACAACCTCTCCCACCACAAAAGAGACCCCTGGTGGATCTTCACCACCATCTCCCTCTTCTACACCATCAAGCGCGAATACAACTTCGGCATTCTGGAGCTCGTGTCCGTGAGTCCTCGCTTCGGCATCATGTTGGCGAGTATGTGTCTCAGCATCGCGTTTATCGTTGTGGATACGTGTGCTGTGTTGAATGCGTTTGAAGGGTCGGGGCTTCCGACGGGGATTGAACCGTTTTGGAAGGTTGGTTCTATTCCTTTGGCACCTGCCTTACTCTCCCGGATCAATTACCTTACTTCTTCTCGACCCATTTATCTATCTATCCATCCTTCTCCCCCCTGACACAACTTACCTATAACTAATACCAAATAAACCCTTCCCCCCGACCCCCGGGTCCCAACAAGTCCCGGGTGTCGGGTCCCCAGGGAACCGGGTCCGAAAAATAACAGCTCTCCTTCATATTCAAATGTCTCTGCGACATCGTCATCCTGGACGATTTCAAAACCGCTCTCGATCGCATGCGTACCTACTGGATCCAGAAACGCGCTGAGTCAGGCGAGATCTTCCTTGCTGATTATAATACGGGGGAGAGGTCGGGGCCGTGGGCGGATGATAGGGATGGGGGTATGCGGGGGCCAGGTGGAGGAGGAGGAGGAGGAGGAGGAGGAGGAGGGGATAATGGGAATATTGGTGATAGGGGTGGGGAGAGGGATGGGGATGGGGGCAGGAGGAGAAGGGAGAGAGGGGAGGGTCGAGGACATTGTGACTGCGATTGTGGGTGTCATGCTAGGAGTGGGAGGAATGGGGTGCGAGGGAAGTTTGGGGATGGAGGCGAGGATGGGGAGGATCGGGTGCCGAGGGTTTATCTGAGGGAGGATGTGTCTGTTTGATTTAGTTTCTTTTAGGTATTTCATTTTGTTGTCCGTGTGTTGGGTAGGGCTGTTTGATTGTTTAACTAGTTACGGGAGGGGTTTGGATTCATTTTTCTTGTCCGGGACAAAGATCTTGATTTATCCTCTATATACCCTACCATACCATAATCACACCCGAAATACCCTCGAATACCTATCATCAGAAAGCCTTCTTCAAATCCATCAAGCTAACCGTCACCTTGTTCGTCTTGCCCAGCAACACACCTCCCCCGTGAAGAAGCAACTTAGACGGGTCCTCCCGCAACACTCTCAACGACCTCGTGTAGCTATGTCCCTCCGGAGTCGCAATCTCCGTCCACTCGCCCTCCCCCAGAGCTTGGTTGATGAAGATCGAGTCCTGGGTGCCCGCGCTGACGATGATCGTGCCGTGCTTGCCGCCGTAGGGGGTCCAGACGACGTACGGCGAGGAGGTCGGTACTGTGCCACTCGAGACGACGAGGCGTTGGTGCGGCGCCGAGTCGAAGTCCTCGGGGTCGGCAGAGATGCGGTAGTAGACGGGGAACGAGTAGGAGGAGGTGTTGAAGAAGGAGCCATATTCGTAGACGAACATGTATTTGCCGTTAGGGAGCTGTGGGGGTTAGCTTGGGAGCTTGGAAATGGAGTAGTGGTTGTTGATGTACCTTGGTGACGGTAGGCATGCCAGGTCGGTCGGTGTAGGTCGGGTAGGAGCTGTATTGCACTGTTAGTAAGTGAGTGTGGACTTGAAGAGTGAAAACTTACACATCATCCTTAGGGGCACTCCAGTTCTTGAGGTCCGTCGTCGTCTGGTGGGACATCTTCTGACCGTGAGTCTCGTTGGCCCTTTGGTCGGCATAGTAGGCGATCAATTTGCCCTTGCTGCACGGTATTAGCCCCGTCTTAGAAGATCCACAAAACAGAAACAAGAGGAAGAGACATACTGCGCCAAAAGGAACGGCTCCCACACCGGCGTCAACCCATTATTCGGCACCGCTTCTCCACCCGCCGCAATATGGCTCAGGAACTCCCAGGTCTTGCCCGAGTCCCGAGACGCGTACAGGTCGATCTGCGTCGACGACAGATCCGTCGGGATGCTACTTCCCGCCAACAGCAGCGTGCCCTTCTTGTACTTCCCCACGCGCTCCGGTAGATAGTACAGGAAGGGCTGGTAGCGCAGTCCTAATCCATTAGCCGTGTCGTGGACCTGCGAGATCTCGTTCCACGTCTGTCCGTGGTCCTTGGACCGGTAGATGGGGAAGTACACGGCCGGCGGCTCGGGCGAGTAGTTCTCCCAGGTGGCGAGCAGGTCGCCGTTAGGCAATTGTTCGTTGCGCGCATACAGCGTCCTCGGAATCGTGTAGTTCGAGGGCGGGCTGAAGATGACGTTTTGGGAGTAGGTCGGGATCCGGGCCTTAGGGATGGATGCGGCCAGCGCCAGGGGCGCCAGGGCGAGGAGGTTAAGGAAACGCATTTTGATCAATTGCCTGGTAGCTCTTGAAACAATTTCATTTTTCTTGCCTTTTATAGTCCAGGAAAAGATCCCAAACATGGCTCCTCGGGATGAGCTGGTATAGACAGCCGGAGCTATCCCGCCGGAGTTGTCCCAATTATGGACTTCCCGTCGCTGGGCAGTCACTAGCGGCTGAATTTCCATCAATCGTGTGCCCGCGCTGTCGGCAAGAGGCAATTCTTAAACGCATTATGCCAACCGAGCAGAAGGAATGGGCTCATCATGCCGAGCTAATTGTCTTGCGGGGTGGACTTGGAGTCTGGGCAGTCGGCAGGGGTTGGCGGGAGTCCGCGTGGCAGCCAAGATTGGACTCATTGACATTGACGATTGTATTGTTTATTTCAGTTTTACCACTTTCTATATAGAGGTGTGAAGTCAGTTGTAGACAGACAGAGCACGACTTATATCCAATGCAGCGGTGATCGACCACAGAATCCGGAGAATTGGCTCGGAGAAATAACCTGGAGAAAAAGACGGCGTGGGATGGCACGATGGAAGCGGGGAAATGCGGGGAGACAAGCAGATGCGATGACGAGATGGTCACTTGGCATTCATCTCGTTAGTGTTGCTCTTGTTGGCGATGGCAGAATCAAGGGGAAGAAAAAAGAAGGAAGACGGATGAAGGCCTCGACAAAAGGTGTCACATCAGCTGACCCCCGTCGTACCCCGTCTGTTTCTCTCTGCATCTCGGAGAATTGCACATCACCATAATCAACACCTGGCGACCAATTGGAGAATTATCAGAGCACTGAAAGACATCATTCCATGCAGAGATGCACAGCATCGTGGCTATGCGGTTACAAACATCCCCGGACAGGGGCCTACAGCACGTCTATTTATGCCGCAGCAGACCTCGACAACTTGCGCAAGAAACAACTCCAGATAACTCAAATCCAAAAAAAAAACGCTCATCATGGTCCCAAATTTCAAGCCCTCCGAATCAATCCCTCAAACCCAGACAGTGGCTCTGGTCAACGAGCTCGTTGGTGATATCGAGTTCCGCGAGGATTACCCCGTTCCCACGCCCGGACAGAACGAAGTGCTCGCAAAGGTTCTATATACGGGGGTCTGTCACAGTGGTGAGAAAGCCTGGCTCGCATCTACCTGTCGTCAGGTTTTAATACCCGGATGCCTAGATCTCCATACGAAGAGCGGTACCGCCGCAAGCGCAGATGGCAAGCCCCATACCAAAAAGCTCCCGCACATCGGTGGACATGAGGGTGTAGGGCAAATTGTTGCGCTGGGTCTTGGATGCGGATCGGATTTGAAAATCGGAAGTTTCGTCGGCATTCGCTTCTCCAGTCGTATCTGTCGGAGATGCGAGTTCTGCTTAGCCGGTACGGAGCAGCATTGTGTGAAAGGCACCAATCATCTGATCCACGAGGATGGCAGTTTTCAAGAGTATATTGCGCTTGACGCGGACTACTTGACACTCCTGCCAGATGATATCGACCCAAAGGTCATGGGTCCTGTCCTGTGCGCTGGCGTCACTGCATACAAGGTATGAGATCTCTTTGCCACGGAAACTCAATCTAACCGTATGCAGGCTGTTTTGAATGCCAACATCCGCGCAGGTAACTGGCTAGTAGTGGTAGGCGCTGGCGGCGGCCTCGGACATCTGGCAGGTGAGAACCATGACCGGGTATGAAGGCAAAAGCTAAACCCAACAGTTCAATACGCAAAGGCACAAGGAGCTCTGGTCATTGGAGTAGATGCTGGCGACAAAAGAGACTTTGTGCTGGGCCTCGGGGCCAAGGAATTCATTGACTTCACATCCACCGATCCCGCCCAGCGAGTCCACGAGATCACCGGCCTCGGTGCACATGCAGTAGTGGTCACAGCAGGCAGCGCGAAAGCATTTGCGCATGCATGTGACATGCTGCGTGTCGGAGGTACTCTGAGCTGCGTCGGTATACCGCCAGGACGCCCAGCCCTGGAAACCCCCATCGCCACCATTGTTATTAAGGGCCTAAAGATCACGGGCAGCCTCATAGGATCGTTGAAAGAATGCATGGAAGCTGTGGATCTGGTTCGCCATGGGGTAGTCAAGCCGGTCATTAAGGTCCGTCCTTTTAGAGAGCTCCCTCAGGTATATGAGGAGATGGAAAGGGGCGACATAGCGGGAAGAGTTGTTCTTCAGGTTTCAGAAATGACTTATCCCAGTATGCCACGAGAGCATGCCAGGCTTTGACTAAAGTCAGCGATGAAAGAAGTTTAGTGCTGAGCCAAATTTGGGTTCAAACAATCATCAAGAATGTTTTCATCTCGTAACATATCCTCCTGCCAACTAAACTCTGGTAGTCGTGCAGGAGCCAGGACCAACGCTTCGGCAGTCTTTGCACGAAGAATTGATTTCAGCATGGGGTCTTGGTCTAAAAATGGAAGAAGTTTCTGATATAGGGCATGTAGATAATCCTCGGGTCTCAACTGAAAGGACAGCAGGTGTAGTGAAGGAGACGTTAATAGAACGGTATCTGCCAGCGAGTTTGCCACCTCGAAGCATTTCAACAACTACATCCTGTCAACCACATAGAATTTCGTTGCAGTTAGTAACTTACCTGATCACGACCCAAAGGAAGCAAATCAGCTTCCGTAAACTCTCGCAGCGAATACAAAAGATCGCGGCTGACAAGCGCTGGGAATTTGAAAGTCATCAGCTCGGCATATGATACGGTGGAAAGCAATTGCCTCGACAGTGCCTCCTGCCAGACAATAGTCCGCATCCATTCCTTCGTGATGCAGTGGTCAGCGACTCGCGAGGACGCTTCGTAGCGACAGCTGAGCGAGAGCGTAGACAACGCAGCTTCGGTCTCGGCCAGACTATCGGCTGAGATTGCAGTTTGGTCAATCTTTCCGGTGCCTCGTCGCTGCACCGACAATCCATCAAAAGTGGCGAAAAGTCTGGCTAATTCGACCAATCCTTGAATATGGACGTTGCCAGTTGCATGTTGCATATCCGGCACCAGAATGGGTTTGGTGTAGGAAGGCGCAAGACCAAGGTGTATAGCATAGCCTCTGCACAAGCATAAGCATTCTGCTCTGAACAACGCAAATTCAACCGTAATAACTAGAGCGACCAGTCACTCAACAAACTTGCCTTTCAGAAACCCACAATAGAATAAATAAAACCTCATCATTCTTTATAACATCGTCCTGTAAACTCCATCGCCGCCCCACTGCATCATCGGAATCTAGTCTCAACAGCCTCGCGCCAGAAATCGCCTCTTGTATGAACATCATTGCCGAGTTACGCCGGTTGGCCTTCGCATGATACACATGCAGGAAGAACGAAACAAACACACTCCTCAAGTCCGGATGATCTCTGTACCCCGTCTCTTCACGAAGCCTCATACACTCCGTCGCTATGGCCGCACAATCCACGACACCATCCCCATCCCCAATGGGCCCAAGCTGCAGCTGAGCCATCGTCGCCGCACACAACGCCGTAGCCAGACAGTACGTGCTCACATCATACTCTCTGGATTCGATTCTCCGCAGAAGCGCCTCCGCATTGACGACAGGCCACACGCTATACGAGGCCTGCTGAAACCGACGCACCACGAAGATCAGCGTCGATTGGGGAATTCTCTCGGACTCATCGCTCGTCAACCCAGAGCCATTTTCCGGGCTGTGCTCATATTCGGTTTCCGGGTCATCCTCAGTCTGAAGAGGCTCCGCAGGAAGCTCGGCACCGTTGCCAATCGTAATGCTGGAGGGCACCGAGACCGATACGAGAGTATCCGGGTCCGACTGGCCCCCACCGGCACGCCGTCGCACTTTGGGGCCCCGTCGCCGCGCGGGTCTCAGGTATGTGCAGGACACTCGGGTCGCGGCGTTCTGGCAGGTCTGGCAGGGCCAGGAACCGCTGCATTTTACTTTGCGAGATATACACTCATCGCAGGCACGTTTGGTGAGTTTGGGGCGCATGGATGTGGATTGATGTAGATCGTCTAGCAGGATCTAGAGTGGAGAGAAAGAAGGACAGCAAGAGGGAAAGACAACAGAAAAGGTAAGACAAACAATTGAAAGGGAGAAGGAAACGAGGGGAAGCAAACGGATTCCACCAAGTAACATGACCTGCCTGCCTGCCTTCTCAGGCACACAGACTCTCCGGGTGTTCATCAATAGCCGAAGTCTCCCTCAGTCTTGGACCTTCCTTCTCTCGCAGCGATCCACTCCATCCGATCCGCCCAGTCGAAGGAACCACCGGACGCGGTGGAGTCGACGTCATGCTATTTTCTCCACATTCGCAAGGTTCCTCCTCATACTTAAAGCCTTCAACTCCCCTCACTTCTTCAAATACCTACAAGCACTACTTCCTCCTTCTTCCCTTCCAGTATCTACACTCCATCCAAAGTACATACATACTCCTCACAAAATGGAAGACAAACCCCTCGCCGCCGCCAGCACAGATGTAAATCCCCCACCCAGCAACACTCTCCCTCCACCTCACTCAAGAACCTATACTAACTTGTTTTAACCCCTCTAGCCCCGCGACCTCGCCGCCCAAGAATCCTCCGCCTCCGTCCTCTTCCCAACCTTCACCTCCACAACCGCCTGGTCCCTCGGCCTCGCCCTCCGCAGCCGCATCCTCTCCCTGCCCCCCTCCTCGCGGAAACCTGCCCTAATCTCGATCGCCCTAACGGGCGGCTCTGAACCCCACGTCGTCTTCCAATGCGCTACCGAGCCGGGCACGATCCCCGATAACGAGGTCTGGGTGCGTCGGAAGCGCAATACCGTGCTGCGCTGGGGCGTGTCGAGCTGGTTGATGCGCGTGAAGATGTTGACGAGTACCGGGCTGGGTGGGGGGGAGGTGGAGGGTGCGTTTGTGAGGAAGCATGCGTTGACGAGTACGGGTGGGGGAGGGGCTGCGGATGACTTTGCGATTCATGGGGGTGGGTTTCCTGTCAAGGTTAAGGGGGTGGATGGGATTGTTGGGGTTGTTGTCGTGAGTGGGTTGAAGCAGGAGGATGATCATCAGGTTGTGGTGGAGGTGGTGCAGGAGTTTATTGCGCAGGGGGGTGTTTAGGTTGGATTACTTGGTTGGGTTGACATTGTATTGTGTATACCAAATCAGTACTTTATCGAGACTGCAGGATTGGGCGATGGCATCGAATTACGGCCTACACAATGTAGGGATCAAATCAATCAAATCAGTCAATTGTATGAGGTATCAAGCTAAGTTCCTGACACCGATATACCCAGTGCCAGGGATCGTCTTATAAACGATTCTTTGTCAATCACGAAAATCGGACCAAACCGAACAATAAAGAATAATGTTTCAGGTAGATAAGAAAAACAACTCCAGAAAAAAACAAGTTAAAAAAAATTGCCCTCTTAGCTAATTTTACAATTCATCATGACCCATGGGCTCGTCGTCATCCTCATCCGCCGGAGCAGAGCCGTAGAGCTTGCTGGTGATGGGGTAGGCCACGTTGGACAGCTGCTCCTTCTGCTCCTCGAAGTCCTCAGTGGTAGCAGTGGCAGCGTTGTCGTCGAGCCAGTCGGTCACTTCCTTTACGGCATCCAAGATGGTCTGCTTGTCATCCTCGTCGATCTGGCCGCCCAGTCCGTTCTCGTCGCTGACCTGGTTCTTCAGGCTGAAGGCATAGTTCTCCAGTCCGTTGCGGGCCTCGATCTTCGACTTGATGGCCTTGTCCTCCTCGGCGAACTGCTCGGCCTCGGCCACCATGCGGTCGATTTCCTCCTGGGTCAGGCGACCCTTGTCGTTGGTAATGGTGATGGACTCAACCTTACCGGTACCCTTGTCGCTGGCGCCGACCTTCAGGATACCGTTGGCATCCAGATCGAACGAGACCTCAATCTGAGGAACGCCACGGGGGGCGGGAGGGATACCGTTGAGCTCGAACTTGCCGAGCTGGTTGTTGTCCTTGGTCAGGGAACGCTCACCCTCGACTGGAAACGATTGTTAGTACTTGATCTCAAATGCGAGCTGGAGAGCAGAAGCAACTTACAAACTTGGATGAGGACGGTGGGCTGGTTGTCCGCGGCGGTAGAGAAGACCTGGGACTTGCGGGTAGGGATGACGGTGTTACGGGGGATGAGCTTGGTCATGACACCACCGGTGGTCTCGATACCGAGAGTGAGGGGGTTGACATCCATCAGAACAACGTCGCCGGTACCTTCCTCGCCGGAGAGGACACCACCCTGGACGGCAGCACCGAAAGCGACAGCCTCGTCAGGGTTGATACCCTTGCTGGCCTTCTTGCCACCGAAGAACTCCTCGAGAAGAGCCTGGACCTTGGGGATACGGGTGGAACCACCGACAAGGACAATGTCGTTGACATCAGCCTTCTTGACCTTAGCGTCCTTGAGCACCTGCTCAACGGGCTTGAGGGTCTTCTTGAACAGCTCAATGTTCAGCTCCTCGAACTTGGCACGGGTCAAGGTCTCGGAGAAGTCCTCGCCGTTGTGGAAGGCCTCGATTTCGATACGGGTAGACATCTGGGAAGACAGAGTACGCTTGGCCTTCTCAACCTCGCGCTTCAGCTTACCCATGGCCTTCAGATCCTCGCGGACGTTGACGTTGTTCTTCTTGTTGTACTGCTTGACGAAGTAGTCCATGACACGGTGGTCAAAGTCCTCACCACCCAGGTGGGTGTCACCAGCGGTAGCCAAGACCTCGAAAACACCGTTGTCGATCGACAGAAGGGAGACATCGAAAGTACCACCACCGAGATCGTAGACGATAACCTGGCGCTCATCGCCGGTCTTGTCCAGTCCGTAGGCGATAGCGGCGGCGGTGGGCTCGTTGACGACACGGAGAACGTTCAGGCCGGCGATGGTACCAGCGTCCTTGGTGGCCTGACGCTGGGCGTCGTTGAAGTAGGCGGGGACGGTGACGACGGCGTGAGTGACCTTCTTTCCGAGGTAACCCTCGGCGATCTCCTTCATCTTTCCGAGAACCATGGCGGAGACCTCCTCGGGGGTGAGGGTCTTGGGGGTCTGGTTAACATCGACCGAAACGACGGGCTTGCCATCCTTCTTGACGATGTTGTAGGGGAAAGTCTTCATGTCCTTCTGGACGTCCTTGTCCTCGAACTTGCGACCGATCAAACGCCTAAAGAGAGATTTGGTTAGCTTTCTCCTCATCTCCTGGCCGTATCAGGCAGAAAAACTCACTTGATGTCGAAGATGGTGCGCGTGGGGTTGGCGGCGTATTGGTTCTTCGCGGCGTCTCCGACAAGGCGCTCCTCATCGGTGAAAGCGACGTAGGAAGGAGTGATACGGTTTCCCTGGTCGTTGACCAGAATCTCGACCTTTCCGTTTTGCATGACACCAACGCAAGAGTAGGTGGTTCCCAGATCAATACCAACGACTGCAAAACAATTAGCACACGGCTCCCTATCCATTTCATCATATTTCGCAAGAATGCATACCAGTTCCGTAGCTGTCGACCGAGTCATCCTGAGCGTGTGCGGTACCGAAGAAAGCCAGGGGGGCGATGAAGACGAGAAGGAGGTAGAAGATGGTCGACCAAGCAGCAAACGGCTTGGCCGCGCCATTGGGGCTAGATGAGCGCGCCATTATGAACTGTGTTAAGGACGTAGTTCCCCTTTCACGATGGAACACGTATTAATGTGAAAAAGATCTTCTCTATGTAGAAGCAGACGCGTTCTCAAAACTCGTCTTGAATGTGGAATAGAAAACACCTCTTGGATTAGACACAAGAGAATGTATAAAGAAGTGAAGAAAAGCCCAACCACAGTCGAGTAGTAGAAGGGGAGGGAGGTGAGGACAGAAAGAATGGGGGTGTGAGGAGGAAGAAGACGGGGAGAAAGAGGGAAAGAAATATCCGTCCAGCTTTGTTCTTGTATGGGATCTTCCGGCGGCGAACCGGTGCAGCGGCCATGCTGGCCTTTTCGCCCGTGAAGGTTTACTTCTCACGCGCTGATTGGCGGAATGCCCCAGGGACCGCATGACTCAGCCAGGGATCCCCGGAAACCGCCTTCTGCTTGGGGGTTTCTGCCGGAGGAATGCGCCGGCATTCGTCCGATTGGAGCAGGCGGAGGCGGTCCATCGAACTTGCTAGAAAGGGCGGCTTATGTCAGGGCTGACTCACCCCAGGCACGGAGCCCTGACAATTGCCCGATCGGGAATGGATTCGCCCTTCAGGATACGTGGAATCTCCTGTTCGGCCTCATTCTTGAGTCAAAGGCCAGGGCGGTTTCGTTTCATGAGGCGCCACGGTACTTCTAGATTCCTCCACATGAGTCAATCCTCCAACTTCCATCTACAATTGCGAGATCTGTCCCTTCTACGCAACTGCCGTATGTCAATCTGGACAGGTGGTGATCACTGACTGCTGAAGACTGGGGACCCTGCCAAGCACCAGTATCCACCCCCTAGTCTGTTTGAATTTTGAACCCCGATTGCACATCATTCCCCGTGATGAGATATTCTTACAGTAAACAGAAGAGAAAAACGGTTCTATGCAATGGTATATTCTCACTAGTATATGTAACGTTTCTCTAAAGTCCATCATCATATGAGACGTCGTAATATCATGTTCATTCTAATAATCCTGCCGCCACGGTGTCTCCTCCAGCCCGGAGAACAATCCTCGTAGGCGCTTCTAACGGCACGGCGCGGTCCATTTCCACCTCAATGCGTGCCACCGTGCCCGGTGCGACGACCTTGGGCCTCTTCTTGACGATATCCCCCGACCCCTTATCCAAAGTGGCAATCAGCTTGCTAATCCGTCCCGGCACATGGAGGCGTCCCCGGTGAACGTCAACCATGCTAGGCATGAGGTGATCGAAAGCCAGCACCTTAGTTGTGAACGTGGTGATGTTAGAGATCGGAGCGGACGGCCGGCAGATGACGTCGCCAGAACGGAGATGAATCGGGTCGATATTGACTAGGTTCAAGACTACGTTCTGACCAGCCACGGCCCAATCGCTGGGCTCGCCGTCTACCTCCAAGCTGCGGATCGTTGCTTTCTCCCCGCTGGGCATTGTGAGGATCTGATCGCCCACCTGCAGACTGCCGGCATCCAAGCGACCCGAGATCGACAGAGGGTTCTGCACGCTGCCGCGGAAGACATCGCCTATAGTCATGCGCAAAGGCTTCTCCAGCGCATGAGAATTCGGCTCGGTTGCCTCCAGCTCCTCGACCAAAGTTCGGCCCCGGTACCATGACACGTTAGGATCCTCGCTGCGCCGGTTCACATTGTCGCCGCTGATGCCAGAGCAAGGCACAAACGAGATGCTCTTGGCTTGGAATCCGGCCGTGGTCAAGAAGGACGAAACTTGCTGCTCGATCTCTTCGAATCGGCCCTTGTCCCACTGCACGGAGTCCATCTTGTTCACTGCAATGATGATTCTTTGTACGCCCATACTGCGCACCAGCAAGGCATGTTCCTTGGTCTGCCCCTTCAGTCCGGATTCGAAGTTTCCAATGCTAGAGTCGATAACGAGGACGGCGAAATCTGCCTGATTAGCTCCAGCAATCATGTTTGGAACAAAATCTCGATGCCCAGGAGCATCAACTATCGTGAACACGGTCTTCTCGGTCTCAAATTTATTAGTGGCGATGTCGATGGTGACACCCCTCGCTCGTTCTTCGGTACCCTGATCAAGCACCCAGGCAAGAGCAAACGATCCTTTCCCAATCTTCTCGGCCTCGCGTCGATATTTGTCCAAAGTGCGTTGGTCGATAGCTTTCAAGTCGGCAAGCAGGCGTCCCATCAGGGTACTCTTTCCGGCATCCACATGACCTACTTCCTATCAGTATAAATCTCACTCACTCCGTAGCACAGACACTTACCAATGACAGCAAAGTTCATGGCCTTCTTCCGCTGGGACTTCTTGTATTCAGACAAGACATCCAAGTTCTTGCTCTTGACATTCACCTTCTCTTCAACGGTCAAATTGCCCATACCGCCAGCAAGGTCGCCCTGAGCTTTCTTGTCGCCTGCGGATTTGGAAGCAGTTTGTTTCGACTTCATGCCTACAAGTCCATTAGGGAGAGTCCTAGTTCTTTCGCCGAATAGCCAAACCTTTCGCAGAGCTCTGTGCATTTAGCACAACGTCGTCGGGGCTTGGGCCTGTGAAGTCAAAAGGTTCAGTAAGATCTTGTCCATATATCGCCATCAGATCCAAGGTATTCGAATGCAAGTGGCTGAGCTCGGTTGCGGGAGGACGTGCAGCATTCCCCACGATGGTACTGGCAAAGGTGGATGGTGGAGCACGAATGTTGACGGCTGGTTCCTCTTTCGGTTCGGTGCTGATTTGAATTTCTTGTGTTGCCCTTGCCAGGTCCGCTTCAACTGGCACACTGGGTCTTTTTGGTTCCGGTGACGGCTGTTTCGCCGGGGAAGGACTTCCAAGACGGGATTCCGCTTCAGGCGTGCCGGATGGTGGCGCACTCTCCGAAGGCCTCTGAGGCTTCCCATTCCGAGCAAGTCTTTCGCGCAATGACAGAGGGGCCCCTTTTGATTCGGTTGACGGTGTTTGAGACCGGCCACCCCCTATCGCTGGGCCCGGAGCTGGTGATGGTGCTTTGTCCGACTCCTTTTTCTTGCGCGCGGCGGCCAAAGCTGCCAGTTTCGACACTTTCCCGCCGCCAGCTTCGGGGTTCCCTCCGAGCAGTCCAAGCCTAGGATAGAGAGGTTCTATAAGGATATCGGCCTTGCGATCCGCCGGGACGTTAAGCCACGGTGTATCGCGAAAGAATTCCGCGGCCGAAAAGTGTGCGGTCTGCGGCGCCGGCTCTAGGGTAGACGGAGGCATAGGATACGCAGGCACTACGAAACCTGTTAGAACATGTTCGAGCTTTCCAGATACGGAGTCAGTTTGAATCAAAAATATCAAATCATGTAGCAAGCGAGATCATACTCACCATCACCGTAAGACAGTTTCCTTGCGGCCAGAGATATATTTCGATCGACAAGCCGAGCCCAACCACCACCACCACCAGGGTCCATGCAGTGAATCACAGGGGAGGGAGAACACAAGTGCTTACCCGTAGTTCCTTTCGCTTTGGGTGCTGCTGCAGGCGCAGACGCAGGCTTCTTCTTCACTTCCTTAGCCTTCTTGCCTAAACCAACCCGAACAATTTCGTCAGCAAAACCATTGCGATCAAAGCAAGTCGACCAAATCCACCACCGCCCAGAAATAGCTATCCCATTGCCCCCCAATCAAGTAGAGTTGTTGCAAAACTCACTTCGCAGATAATTTACCGATTTTTCAATATCATTGTAATAATGCCACAGGGACTCCTGGACCTCTTCGCGAGTCGCCGTCACGGAGGGATCCCCCGACCGCAACTGCTGAATAACCTCGGTCGTGCACTGTTCCTGGAACTCCTGCTCCTCGGGATCGGGAGAGTCGTAGCCATCATCTTCGAAGTCGTCCTCGTCGTAGCTTAATGCTTTCACGCGATGTCGCGACATGGCGGATAATTATTGCTGACCACGGGAGGCGGGGCAAGGCTGGATGGATGAGGGGCTAAAGGAAAGGGAGGTTCGAGCGAGGATGTTGGCGAATTGAAGTATTTCCCTGCGCTCTGGTGGGTAGGATTGAATGTGTGAAAATACAAAAGGGGAGAGAGAGGAAGAGAGAGGAGGGAAGAAGAGAGTGAAGTCAGGGACTGGAAGGGAAGACTGTGGTGGGAAGAGTCGAAGGGAAGGGAAACCCACCACGTCATTCCCCACTCGGTTGCTGGATGTGTCATCCATAGTTCACGAAGAACTAACTACATACAGATGTTTACTGTTTACTGCACAGCAATCATTATTATCTAGACGCATTTCTGTGAGCAGATCGTTTGAAAATGTTTAAGCTGATTTTCAATTCAAAGAACTATCTTTCTAAGTAATGAATACGCAACAAAGTCCCAACTCTAGACATCTAGGGATTATATCTATATCCCCCAAACTTCCATTCCTGCTGCGTACAAACATCCATACCATCATAAGAGGTCGTCAAAAGCAATCCAAATGCCTATAATGTTTGAAGAGGATGGGAGGGAGAGAACAATGAAGTAAACCAAACAACAAAAGAACAGCAATCATTTCAATGGACTGCCGCTGAAGAAGTCACCTGCGCCAGGACCGGTGAAGCTGCCATTGCTTGGGGTCAGGGCAATTGAGCGACGGAAGGCCTGTCTCGGGGTCGTTGGGGCGCTGACCGCACCTGCGGCATCGGGGGCGCTGGGGGTATTGCGGCCACTATTGTTTTGCATCGTCACCGCGGTTCCCGGTCGAGAGAGAACCGTGGTCGTGCCATTGCGAGGAGGGGGGCGGAATCCTAGTTTAGATCCCTCGCGGAAGATTTCCTCCAGGATTTGATTGACGATCCCTGCGTCCTCGTATTCCTGGAACTTCTTCCACAGTCGGAGGGCCATGCGTGCATCCTCAATGGAATCATGGCCACTGTTATTATCTGCCGGTTCTTCCTGGATGTATTCCTTGAACACCGCCCAGGCAAGATATCGAAGACTGAGTCGCCGATTCTTCCCGGGGTGGAAGAACAGATACTGGGTATCCACCGTCTGGTTCTTGGGAACCTGAATGTTAATCTGCCGGAAATCCGAAGCCAGACCATGTCCGACAAATACACAGCCTAGGTTGAGAAGCAACCATAGTTTCTTGTAAGCAACCTTGAGAGGAACAAGATTATGCTGGCTAGTCCTCGGGTCCAAATCACCGGGCTTGATGCCAGAATACTGAGTGACATAGTCAACAATCGGCTCCTTGATGGTGATGTAGTCGTCGATGAACGGGACTCCTTCGCGGACGCCGGAGCCTCGAAGAACAGAGACTCGCGCAAGACCGCTCTTGCTGGGCCTGACAATCTCCTGGGAACCGTCTGCTTTAACGTCGATTTCAGCCTTCTCAAGATCCACGAACTCGGTGTCGAGAGCAACAGGGGTACCGGGGGCTGGCTTCTCCGTTTCAGACAGCGTGACGTGAGATTCCACGGGGCGGCCGGCACTAATTGAGATACAACGTTAGCACCTGCGAGTCGTCTAGTTTACGAAGGGTTTGACTCACTTTAGGGACCAGTCACGGAAGAGAAGACCGGTGTCCAAGAAGTTCTTCCAATTGTCGTCGATAGCATGTCTGGCATCGCTTACCTGGTATGCCAACACACACGGTTGCTTCCATGGCTGATTAAACCGCAAGGCTTCGTCTTTATCGACCTCAGTGACCAAGAAGTCATTGAATAGGTGCCACTTGTTGATCGGTTCCTTCGTTCGAGAGGAGATGGAGACATTAATGAACGAGACCAGATGGGGTTTCTGGTGCTCGGGGATATCGATTTCCGAAACCAGGCCAACCAGCTCATACACCACGAGCCCGGGCATATTACCCTGCTTCCGCAATTTGAGATCTTCTCCTTCGAAGCAAAGGATCTGTCCTCCATCGACAACAATACCAACTTCTTCGGGTAACCACCCAGGTATACTCCATAATCGTCGGTACATCGGATTGGTGAGGGCCGCATTCAGGATCAGAACCATGGGCATGCGATGTACGGTCTTCCTGATGGCCACTTGCTGATAACGCCGACAGTAATTGCACCACCCTCTGTTTTGCGTCTCACGCTCAATACTTGCCCGTAAGATGTTTGAGAACCGAAAGGCCGGGTTCCTCCGAGCTTGTTTGGGGTCAAGGGCTGGATAAACCAGCTCATTGGCAAGGGAGTTGCCTGGTCGAACGATTTCATTCTGGCAGAAAATGCATCGGATCGACTCCGACGCAATAGTCGCTAGCCTTTGGTCGAAATCATCAGAGCTTGGAAGGATCATGCGGAAATCATGTGCGATCTGGTTCAGGAAAAATCGGTTGACCGACTGGATTGCAGATGAAAGCGACTTCGTGGTCAAATTCTCTTCAAAGAGACCCAAATTGGAGGCTTCGCGGAAGCTGCTAAAGGTTTTCAATAAATTCGTGGCCTGGCAATTCTGGCCATTGGCCTTTTCAAGCATGTCAAAAAGATAGCCCATCTCGCAAAGCAGGCAGCTCTCGATGACACAGTTGCTCGCAGCATGATTCAACGCCACGTTCCGTACCAGGGGGATGAACTTGAGGAGTTGCAGAAGGGCATTGGTGAATGAGTTCGCAATGTGCGTCTCTAAACCGGAGAAATCGGTTTGGTTGTAGAACCTAAGAAACTAAGTCAGCCTGATGTTGGAATATTGGACATGAGTTAAAATGTAGGGTACTGACCTGAAATCAAAATCGTCGACACCAAATCTGCTGTACTTGATTTCAACATTGCTGTATTTAAGGAGAGGATCATCTTCGGCCTCTCCGTTCAGCTTTGCGCCTGCGAGAGCTTCGGCCGTATCGCTAATAGAGCCCTCGGACTTAGCCCTGCTTTGCTCTCGAGCCTTCTCGCTCAAGAACTTCGGAGCAATCAGAGCGGGCTCTGTCGTAGCCAACGCTCGCGTGTTCTCCACCTGATTTCGTCTGGTTTTCTTCGGGTTCGGTGCATAATGCCCAATCTCGGCGGGGCGAAGGTAGGGGATCAACCCGGTGTCAAGGGGTGCCGGCGGACTACCGACTTCAAACACAAGATGACTTGGCCATGCTGATAGCAGGCGTTCGTGATAATATGGCATACCGACCATGTTCAATGGCGTCTCGGGTGACCAATCAAGCGGAGGAGCGCGAGGGGTGACATCGGCGAATTCGGTCTCCTTACTCATTTCATTGAAATGGATCTTGGCCGGAGATCCCCACAGGTGAATCATGCACTCCGCATCGTTGATCGCCAGAGCTTCTCCGGAAGGTGAGAGGTCGATCCCAAGCATATACGACACGTTGGCCTGGCGGAGATTGACCGCGTTGGGGTTCATCAGATCCACGACTTGAAGCTGGCCCGTTTGCGAGGCGACAAAACTAGTCGTGTGAAGCTTCGGGTGCATGCGCACATAGGCCGCCCCAGCATGAAACGGGATGGGAGGTAGCGGCGATAGGGTTTTGAGATCGTATACGTTGGCCAGAGGATCGACAATCGAGGATCCGAGATGTCTGACGGAGAAGCCACACGTAACCAGGAGATCATTCCGAGCATCCATATCATTCACGGCCGTCCCATGGGCCTTCCACGACTTCACGACACTAAAATCCGACAAGCTCAAAGCATTAACGGAGCCCGTATCGGTGGCCGCACAAAGATACCGACTCTTCTTCATCATCGTGTAATTATACTCGGTCGGCAGTTTGTCGATTATGATACCCTTGTCGATATCGATGGTGAACATTGCCCCTTGGCACCCTGCGACGATGATCCTATTCAGCTGGGCCGTGAAGCTCATGCAGCGCAGATCGACCATTTCCTCGTGGGAGACATGCCATTGCGTCAACCCACGTCGCGTTATCATGTGGACGCTTTTCGAGGACAGCGAAATCACGCCTCGATCATGGAACAGGATCTGTCGAACAGATCCTTCGGAAGCAGGGTGCGCCCGGACAGATGTATACCTCTGTAATTCAGGTCCGTAGAAGGAAGTGATCCGGCCCTATCCAAGCAAATCAAATAAAGGCGTCAGCGCAAGTCACCACATCAGCTCATCCCAGTATCGATCAACACGCACAAATTCATTCCCCACCCACAACAATTCCATTACATCATCGAAGGCTACTGTCGTCGCGACCGAGGGCAACGCATGCGCATTTGGAGGAGGCACCGGAATGCGCGACAATTCATCCCAATCGGCTTCCATGGTGCCGGTATTACATCTGGGCCTGGAGCCCAGGAACGGTATCGTATATGAAGCAAACAAGCGGAACTGCCAGGTATGTGTTGTTTTTTTCTCCTTTTTTTTTTTTTAAATACTGAATCGGCTCAGCGCATCCGGGACCAGGGCGAAATCGGGCATCGTTCGGCAAAGGACGCGACTGCGGGGGGAGCTGTTAGAAAGAGGGCACGGTTCCTCAGGGGTAGATGGGCACGGTGTGGAAAGAAGGTGGATGCAAGCAAACAGCTTGCACCCAGTGATAATAGCTAATCACCTCAGTATTCGTCACTCCTCGAGTCACACCGGCCGGGAGTGACCAACTTCTGACATCAAAAGGCGGCCGTAAAAGAGGTGCCGGACACGTCATCACGTGAGGGGGCTGGAGCGGGGGTGGGCAGCGGCGTGGGGCCTGAGGCCACCGCTTTTACTTCGGGTTTGACTAGACTAGGTAGGCTTACGGAGATGTTCGTTTTTGATGGCAATTAATTGAATTGACAGACACATTAATCGTTAATTGACACGCAAAAAAGATGTGTGATGTAACATGAAGCTTCAAGAATGCCCATACGTATACATTTTGCGGGAAATTGAATTTGTTCCGTCGCAACTAGAGCAGAATCAGAAGTATAAGACTACCTGAAGCTGCCCCAGGGGGATCTGACGGTGGACACAGATATGTTCTAAGCAGCCCTCCCTTCGCTTGCTCTTTGTTTCACGATTGAGCAGACCATGGGGTAGGCGGTTCAATTGAGCCAAACCAGGATGCGGTTAACCCTCATAACTCATAATGGGCATGATGAACCTATCGATAGAACGATGCGGGGTTGGAGTTAGAGGCACCTCCAGGGGGGTTATACGCCTGGTAGCCTCCACCACCAGGGTTAAGGGGGTAAGGCACAGCGCCGGCTGCGCCCGGGACAGGAGGCTGGTGCATCGGCGCTGGTTGATGGGACGCGGGGGTAGGAGGGTATGGGGCCGTTTGCCCGGTGGGAGGTACGTTAGCTGCATCATCAGAGGGATATGCTGGGTTAGAGTACTCCTGCTGGGGATAATGTTGCATAGCGCCTGGGATTTGAGCGCTGAGGTAGGGAGGTCGGCCTGCCGAAGGGTGGTCGACAGGCGAATCATAAACGGACGTTCCTAGTTCCTGAGGGTGTTCATACGTCGACTCCGGTCGGTGGTGCACTGGCTGGTAGGAGTCGGGAGCAGGCTGCGAAGGTTGCTGTTGGTATGGTGCGCCTGCAGGAGGAGTTTGGGTGCGCGGGTCCGGAGACTGAGTAGGAGCAGGATACCCAGGCGCCTGATCACCTCCATAGTAAGGATTTGTATTAGACTGGACAGGCTGGCTCTCTTTATTTTAACAGATGTCAGAAATATGCACATATTTGAAGATTTTCATTGAGACTAACCTTGGGGGCGTGGGCTGAAGTACCGCTGGGGGTCAGCCTGTGCGCCAGGGTAACCCAGGGACGACGCAGGTCCAGGATATCCATACTGAGGTTGGCCTGGTCTGCCATATTGCGGTTGAGCGGGGTGCGACATGGACGCCTCCAGAAGAGTCTCGTAATCCCGTCGAGCTTTGATGAATTTCTCGTTGAGTTGCGTGAACTCATCTAAGTAGTAGTGAGCGGAGAGCACAACACGCGGTGGGTTTTCTTTTCATGACTATAACATACCTTTCTTCTGCGAGTATTTCCCAATGAGCTCGATCAACTTGGGTCGAATGGCCAGCGTTGAGTGATATAGGTTCGTGATCTCCTCGTTTTCTTGCACATTCGGCTCAGAGCCACGCGTGCTAAGCAGGGTCAAGAGCTTTTCCACATTTTTGATCTGTCCGAAAACTTCGGTTTCCGTCTGCGCATCCCGCTGCAGCTCTTCGACCGTAGGATCAGGAAGCTTCTCAACGTAGTTGAGAGGAAAGATTCCGGTCTGCCCTCTCAACGAACCCTTCCACCAATCCTTATACACCGACTCGAGCACAGCGATGACATCACCCTTGCGAAACTGCAATTCACCCGGCTCCGACGGCTGGAAGTCGAAAAGCGCTCTGACACGCGAGACGGTGGCCGCTGAAGTACCCGAGGGCACGGCTTGAGAAGCGGCTTCCTGGACTTGGTTGACCGCGGAAGAGCTGGCTTCGGGTTGATTCTCGAAAACGGCGGCGGCGGAGGTGGAGGCGGCGCCCGGTGTAGGTTTCTCCCTTATCGAAAGCGCCAAGGCCATCTGAAGTTCTTCCTCCTCCTTCTGACGATCCACGTCTGTGATCTCCGTTTTCACGGGTTTCGACGGAGGTTGCAGGTTGGGGTCTAGAGCGAACAGCATATACTAGTTAGCATACCGCATTTCGCATCCCCAAATCAAAGATATGTTTCTTACTCTGGGTCTTCAAAGTCATGTAGGCTTGTTCCATGATCCCGAAGTCCGGGTTGCTGGCGAACATTGCCGTCCACTCATGCATGCGCTCCAAGATCTTCGACTTGACTTGCTGGTGGGTGTTCTAAAAATAAAAAAAAAGCAAATCACTGTTCAGTACTCTCTTCGCGACAGGACAGCAACAGTTTAATCTTACTCTATCACTCGCCAGTCGTAACAATGCATCCGTGAAACTCCTTGACGCTAGTTCGCGATGGATTTTGGGACCGCAGTTTTGCGCCAGGGCATTTCCGAGCTATGTAAACGATCAGCAATTCGGGGTTATTCGAATAGCGGCTTCCAAGATGCCAACAGGGGCAGAGCGGCGCAACGAACCTCCAAAGTGTATAATTGCACATTGGCATTGCGGTGTGCAAGCCGCTTGATCAAGGCAGCGACAGCATCCTTTGCACTAAAAGCCGGGCGCATGTCAGCATCACCGTGACCGAGCAGGATTGTCCAAACATGGAACCCAAGGAAAACCTACCCTGATTCCTCCGCAGCTACTTTGTCGCAGACATCCTATCAATCCAAACGCAGTCAGAATTAACCCAATATTTACTCCCAACGGCAACACGGTGTCCCCAGTGAGGTTCTCGTACAAGTATATATTCCCAGTTCTCGGAAGTGAGATTCTCATCGGTCGCCTTGGCTAGATAGGGGCAAAAGTCGCATGTCAGCAATGAACTTAAAGAGAACAATAGACAACGTCGCGGGACGATGCTGAGAGGTCAGGGGGATCTTACCGACAGCGTCATCAAAGGCGTTCTGCTGTTGCCGAAACATCACGAATGTTTTGCCTCGAACTGGCCCAACTCAGATGCTACTCTTAACGTTCCAGATATGTTGGTTCCGCCGATTTGAAATATCTCTCCGGGATATAATCGATACGCCGCGAGATCCAAAACCGAAGACAGTGGTCCGACGTGGCTAACTTTCTCGTCCAAGAATGCGCAGATCAAGGCAGAACACCGGAGGGTGCGGGGGAGCGGTCAACGGTCGCCAGATGTCCAACCCGGCCGGGGAGTTGGGTACGGTGGAAGAGGTGGGTGTAGGTAGTTCCTTTGGATTGAAGAGTATTTAGGAAAGGAAGTCCGGCGCAGTAAAAGAGCAGGAAGAAAGAGAGGGTTTCAGCAGAGAGAAAAAAGCTTGGGCATTGAGTGGAAGGCTGCAACCTGATGCGAGTGACGATGGTTCGCGCAGGCGGAGAACCGCCTCTGACGGGCCGCGCGCTACGCCTGAATAAGCGAGCTCTGCTGTAGGCGATGACGACGTTTCTCTACGGATATTTGTCTACTACGGCACCTTACGGAGTACTGAGTATGAAGATACTCGAATATTGACCTCCTGTTTCCCATATGTACCACTGTCTATGAATATTCTCCTTACGGACATCAGCTCGGGCACCATCCACCTAACTGGCCCCTAACTAAATGCCCTAAATATACGAGCTCAGTCTCCCAGCCCCCAGGCCACGAACCCGCCACTTTGCGGTCAGTGATATTGACTCACTGCCTGGTTCATGTACCCACCGTCGATCTTAGTCTGTATGTTCCAGGAATAGATATCTCTCTTTCGTAAAATTTCCCCCAACGAGAAAAGGGTCGCGCCAGGAACCTCACATCTATGATATATGGGCAGGCTAGTATAGCTCTTTCTAACCAGAAGCCTTGGAGCTTGCCCTTTCGGACGGCAGGTCTCGTTACTATTTATCGTCCCATGTGAACTGATGATAGTTTCTACCTGTAAATATCTTCCAAGATCAATCATCCTTAAACCAGACCGCTCTTCATCTGTAACGGGTTAGAAATAAACGACCATAAATCATCTACAATATTAAATGCAGACAATAGTCCCCAAACTATCACGATATATCTCTATACCAAAGAAAAAAATCAGAGGTTCAAGAGTATTAATAGGAACACACACACACACACACACACATAGACAGAAAGACAGAAAGACAGAAAGACAAATATATAAGCATCTAGATAAATCAACGGCGCACAATCAATCAATCAACCCAACCCCAAACCCTCGCAGCCAAACTCAACACCATGCACAGCCTCACCCTCTTCTGGAGCCAGCAAATATCTACTGTTAAACCGTACGACTCCAAGGACAAGGGAACGGTAACTACAACCGGAACCATCAAGCCAAGCCAAGTCGAGCCAAGACACCGCTCTGGTATGTTCATACAGAACATACGTAGGTGTTCGGAGTAGGTCAGGCAGACAGACAGACAGGTAGGCACGCCATCGGTGACACATGACGAATGGGACGGGTTGGTGGTCTGTACGACCTTGACGTGCTTATTCGGGTTGCACGAGCATGGGGGGTTTGATTAGGTCGGGAGGGTTAGGGGCTTGTAGGCTAGGTAGGTGGTTAGAGAGGGGTTTTGCGTCATCAGAACTGAAAAGACCAGGACAGAAAAAAACGGAAACAAGGAGACCGTTGGGGAAATGATATCAACGTTCAAGAAACAAGTAGCTAAAGTAGGAAGATATGAACGCCTTGTATTATGTTTTTGGGTCCCATAAGTAGAAGATAGATAGGTCGTTAGTCGTTATAATGATGAGGATGAGGATGAGGATTAGGATGAGGATGAGGATAATAAAAAGAAAAACGCCAGAAGTCAACTACAACCGAAGAGTAATAGCAGATAAGAATGCTTGCCCCAATAGAAATAAATCATTCACGGCCGCTCTTGCTCAGTCATGATATTGGATAGTGAAGCCCGTCCGGCGACATGGCGATAATAGCAGAAGCAGCAAAACATATGTAACTCCAGATAGGATTTACAGTCACCTCCTAGTAATCTTATAAAAAGATAAGATGGTGGAAAAACAAAGACAACACAAACACGCCAAAGGAGTGAGGAGAAGTGCTAACAATCATCAAAGATAGGAGGATATATGAATCATCGAATGAGAGTGCAGAAATGCTCATGCCACCAGAGACGGGCGGCGAGGAATCAAGAATAGGGGAAGTAATCATCAAATCATCGCCATCTATAACATTTAAGATCCGGGGAAAAGAAGCCCAGAAAGAATAAAAATAGCACCAGGAAAAACGCAAGTCTTTCCTATTATGCAATGCCAGCAGATCATAGTCCGGCGAAATATGAAACATGAGAGGTAATGGGTATCTGGAGGAGAGACAAGAGGACATCAACGTATGTAGAGACAGCTAAATGCGAGGCATTTATTAGCCCCCCTTTTGAGCCTTTTCAGCGGCCCGGCTAGCGCGCGCGGCCTTGACCAGGGGAGACAAATGATTGAGCGGTGCGCAGAAGGACATGAATGGATGCTGTGTCACAAGTTAGCGAGCTACTCAGACCGGAAAATCAAGACAAGTTGAAAACATACCTTCAGCAAATCATGTGCCGATGCTCGCTTTTCCGGGTCTACTTTCAGCGCAAGGGAGAGGAAATCCCGGAAGACGGGCGACAAGTTGTGGTCGTCTTTGATCTTGGGTGTACCGTTCGTGGCAATCAGGTAGAGCGCCCGCAGGGGGGATTCCGTGAGATAAGGAGGTTCGCCTTCGATCATCTCGATTGCCATGATACCCAAACTCCAAATGTCGACTTTTCGGCCGTATTCCTTTCTGGTGACGACTTCAGGGGCCATCCAATAGGGTGTGCCGACCATTGTGTTGCGCTTGTTGTGGGAGTCGTTGATTTGGGCACAGAAACCAAAGTCGGCTGTAGTTGTCTGTTAGAATTGATCTAAACACCTAAATGCTGACTTGTAACTTACTTAATTTGATATTGCCATCCATTGAAAGAAGAATGTTATCAGACTTGATATCACGATGAATGACACCTTTCGAGTGCAGGTGCTGCAACCCATTAAGCGTCTAGAAACAATTGTTAGCAACTCGATTGTCAGGTAATGAGGGAGAGCGAAGGAACTCCGCCAAAAAGAAAAACCCACCTCTCTGCACACAGCCGCGATCTGGGCTTCACTCATGATGTTGAAAGTGACGACATCAGTCAAACTTCCGCCTTCCATGTACTCCATCACCACCCACAGGTCCAGACCGTGGAGGTAACTGTCCAGGAAATTCACGATATTCCTGTGCTTGCTGTCTTTCATCACGAGGATCTCATTGATGATCAGATCCTTCTTCGGCTGCAAGTCGAGATTCATTTGTTTGATAGCAACACAGTTGTTGGTGCCGTTCTGATAGGCAGTATAGACACCGCCCGATGCACCCTGACCAATTTTGTTGAGAGTGTGATACATCTTGCTCGGATCTCCGGGGGTACAGATCGCGACCAGTCGAGACCGAATATCCATAGCAGTGCTCTGACGGGGCCGCTGCCGGGGTCGAGCTGCGGGAGGGGCACGGGAAGGGTCATCCACGGGAGTGACATGTTGCGGAGGCGGGGGCTGCGCGGTTTGTTTCTGTTCCGGTCGGGGTTGCTGTTGCTGCTGCTGCTGCTGCTGCTGCTGTTGTTGTTGCTGCTGCTGACGTTGGCTGCGGCTGCGTTCAAGCTGTTTGCTGGCGATTGCTTGTTGGGCTGCGGCAAGGGCATGCTCCTGCTGCTGTTGGTACTGCACCGGCGTGGCCACGACCGCCGGAGGCGCCCATGCCGCCTGCGACCCGTTGGTTTTCGAGTTGGATCGGCTGGGTTGAGACTCGGACGGCAACGGCTCGGTCTCCGGAATAGGTGGCGTACCGAACTGGTTGGCAAAAGGATCCTGAACCGGCCGGTTCGAGGCACCACCGTACGGACTGGTAGCCACCGGAGGTGCCGGTCGGGCAGGAGTCATATTGGCGGGCGCCGGAGGCTTTGGCGGGGCCCGATTAGGGATGAGGCCACCGCCACCCATTGGCGGGGACATGGCTTGGCCAACCGAAGCACCACGGGGAATGGGAGGCGGTGCCCGTGGATTTTCAAAACTCCCTTCATGGTTTTGAGGGAATCGAGGACTCGTCGGAGATGAGGTTCGCTGAGCACCAGATCCTTGCGGCGTAGACCCGCCGGAGCCGGGTTGAGACGTCGCCGTTGTAATCAACTGTGGTTGCGGATATGCGTGGTCGAACTTGTGCCACACCTCGTCGTCACCACGAGCATTCTTTTCGTAGAACCGCATGATATCCACCATGGTCTGCGGGTGTTCCTCCTGTTCCTTCTTCGAGATACCGCTCTCCTGCAGCAACCGCTGCCATTCTCGGGGCAAACCCGTGAACTGACCCGTCTGGTTGTCATAACCGACGTGGGTAACATGGACGGGATTCTCGGGGGCGGAGATTTTGATGCCACGCGGAGAGCCTAGCATGCTGTTGACGAAGTGGGAGAAGCTGCTCTTCTTGCTTCTCCCGGTCCCTAGCGGCCGGGGAGCGCCCCCTTCGTCGGAATACCGTTTCGTATTCGCGGGGCGATCATTGTCCGTCCGATTCACGAGATTATCCATCCGGTTGTGTAGAGTGGTGAAACTGGCTGACTGTCTGAGACCACGAGGGTCCGGGGTGGTTTGAGATCGTAGGGTCGGAGGTTTCTCGGAGAGGGTTCCAACGGGTTCGGCACTGTTCTCGTCGAGAGCACTGAGCATGCCCCGGGTATCAAACGGGGCGCCAATCAATTCATCTGAGCTTTGTTCGGTCAGAGAAAATCGTCCCGAGTGGGGTGGACGGGCTTTGCCGGAGTAAAAGTTGGCAGATGGCTGGGCAGTATCGTTGCCAGCAATGACCGGTGACGGGCCCCCGCTATTATTTTGGTCGACAGAGGACGAAGAGGAGCCGTATGCGTTGGATCGTGTGCGCGAGTGCTCTCGACTGCCGGCGGCAGACGAACGTGGATAGACTGGGGCGGAGGGATGGCGTTTGAGAGAGGTGTTACTTTGTTGGCTCTTGAGGATTCGAGAACTAAAGCTAGGAGGATCTTTGTGAAGCTTGCTTGACTGCCGCCGAAATTTTAAAGAGAAACTATCGTGATTCATGGCGTACGGATTTTAGGGGAGGGGAATTTAACAGGTCAAGCGACTGGGGGGGTGGTGGAGGGAGGGCAGTCGGTCGTAACAAAGTGACAGGGTTCCAAGTCGACTAGGCACAATGGCTTGATTGGAGGGGAGAGGGGGGAAAGCCACCGGGTGAGGCGGTGCTTTCTCGCTGTCCCTTCCGTCACTTTCTTTCTCTCTTTTCTTTTCTTTCTTTCTTTCTTTTTTTTTTTTTGGAAATATATTTTCCAGTGTTGGTTTGGTTTCTTGTGTTGTTGTTGTGCAGCGAAGTATGGTGGGACCGGGCGTCTGGAGGGGGGAGAGAGGGTGGGTGTGAAACTGTACAGGTAGTATGTATGGATGATTGGGAGGGGAGGCGATGGGTAAAAACGAATGATGGATGTTGACCCAACGAGGATGACTGTCGTTGGATGAGACGGAGTAACGGGGATGCAAGAAGATCCAGTTAGGTCGACGCAAGGGAGGACGCGCGCAAAAGGGTGAAAAAGAAAATGAAAAAGAGAAGCTGCCGCGGGTTACCGTCAACCACCAAAATCCAGTGGTTGGCACGTGGAGAGCCGCTGAGTGTCCAACTTTAGGCGGTGACGGGGCAGGAGAAGAGAGGATGAGGGGGGGAAATTAGAATGGAAAAAAAATCAGAAAAAATGGATGGAGAAATAATGAATCAACTGCAGATAACCGACAGCTCAGCACACAGATCTGCAATCCACAGACAGACAGTTGCGAATGAAAGAGAAGGGAATTCGAGAGGAGAAAGGAAGACGAGAAGGCGAGAGAGCAGATGAAAAAGCAATTATTCCTTCTAGTCGATGATCCCAGGGGAGAGAGGTGATTATTATTATTGTTATTATTATTATTATTATTAAATAATTAAAAAAAAAAAAAAGGGAAACGGAAAGGGCAAAAAAAAAAAAAAAAAAAAAAAAGAAAAGACAGACTGGGAGGGTCGGAGGGATCCAGTTGATTTAGATAGATTGGAGGCTGGACCAGCGACGGGGACAAGCGAGTGCCAAACGGCCCGTCCAGAGAATGATCGAAGAATGGATTTGATTGACTTGACTTGAGGTGAGGTGAGTCGAGCTCAATGGAATTAGCATTTCATTTTTATTCGATTTGATTAATATTCGGGTGATGGGGGGACTGCAATCTCTTTTTCCTGTCGAGGAGGGGGGAGAGAGAAAGAGACTCTAAGAGAGCAAACGGCCAGCCACTTGGCCTGCCTGTGACGTACTGGCGGGTTGACAATAGGGCGGTCAATAATATGAGGGACGAGGATGCTGTCCATTAGGTGCTGCTAATATTCTAATTACTTGTCAAGTTGTCCTTCAATTGAAGGAGAAATTCTCTGGAATTATCCGTATGAATCTCTTGAACACATCTTCGTTGTGTTTCTGGTCTACTCCCCCCCCCTATTTCTCTGCCATCGGTTAGAGGCTGGTTAGCGGTTACTGAAATATCAGGGATCATTTAACCTTTCAACAACACAACGAAGTCAACGGAGAAGGCTCAAACATGGGACAGCGAAAAAAAAAAAGAAAACAAATAAAACAAATAAAAAAGTACCGTTTATCCTGTACGTTACGGGTATATCCTCCGTACTGCTGCAAATGCAATACGGCAGACTCGTAAAAGAACTAATTCTAAATCACTTTAGTTAATTATTCCAGGACAGGTTTACATCACCTGTCTCAGATGCGACCGCTCAGAAGGGCAGGAGAAAAATTCTAGACACATCTTGACCCCAGTCGATGTGATCCGATCGGATAAGACTTCCCCTCCTTCCTCCGTTCCAATAATTTGGTTTGGGCATGTTTTATGCCTTGTGTTTGGGACTGGTCGCTGATCGAACAGCTCTCCTACCTACTCCAGGTAGCTCGAGGTAGCTCTGAGTCTGTAAGTGTCCTGGGAACCACCGACCACCGAACTATCTAAGGTACTCCGTAAGTATCTGTGCGTGATTTCGGAAAAAGGACCGCTGGGCAAGACCTCCAGACGGGGCTTGAATGACCGACCCGACGACGTTGCCAGTCTCGGCTGGAATCTTAAGATTAATCCTTTCTTCTCCCATCTCCTGGATTCGAATGTGAATTATCTGTCCATCGTTCTCTCGCCCCCAAGAAGAACGTTCCATTCTGACATAATTACTTTATTTGGGTACTCCGTACTTAATCACAACCTCATCTGACAGGATTGTGAACCACATCACTAAATCAAAGAAAGAAAAGAAATCACTTCGTCAAGACGAGTGAAAAAAGAAAGAAAAAAAAATTTGACACCCCGATGACGATCAGACCTCTCGTCCAGAAGATCAGAGCTCAAGCCTGCCGAATCAAAAGCGCGCGAAACAATGCTCCGTCCAGCCTCTTATCACTCCCATTCTGCAGGTACCGTCTTATCCTCACGGCTGTGATCAAACCGGATGTGTAGAATTCCAGTCCGGGGCCCCCTGCTCCTGCAGACACATATACGATGCAGCCCGACCAAGTCACACATGTGTCTAGTAATCTTCCCATCCCTTACCGGTGCAATAAATCGCCTGGGTTCTGGAACGGCTTCTTCTCCGTTCCGCTGCTCTCTCTGCGTCTCTTGGCCCGGTCGGACCTGTGGAATATCATAAGTGACTGGTCCTCACTAGTAGCCATGATGATGACGATGGACGATAGCCATCACCATACGGACAATTGACAATAGTTAGTGGCAATGTGCCAGCCTGCAAACCTCCATCGGAGAGTCCAGACTCCGGAGAACCTCGAATCGCAGAGGAGACGGGATATATCAGCCTACGACGACGCTAGCGTTTGTCCGGAGCGCGACGGGACCAACTGTCGGAGCCGTCCAGGACACTAGGGCATCCTTCGTCTGAGTTAACTCTTAAATCGTTGACACGAAGGCGTCGTTGCCGGCTCCCCGGATTCTTTCGTTCGGGATAATTTCCTCCCATAGTTCATCCGCTTGGGGACGGTGTACGGTGTACTTGGTGGGCCAATTCCTTATCGAAACCAAGCCATTTTTTTTTATTAATGAAGGTAAGATGCAACCCAACCGAACCACGTCGGTCAGGTTGTGTCAAATCCCCATCGATCCAACTTATGACAGCCAAGGGAAAGGATTCCGATCGCAGTCACGGATCCGCATCTATCACGTGAGCACGGCCGCCAGACAAAAAAAATCAAGTAAAAAAAAGGAAAATCCGGTTCTCGCCCGGGAAGATACGCGATCAGCGGTCCGGATGATGTCAAATGGGCTCCGGAATACGGTGTATGGATCCAAAACCGAGGAGATACACCAAAGACCAAGAAGTGACCTGCCGGAATCTATTATTTAGGAGAATAGCATCGAGATGAAATTGCCATCTCTGACCTCTCAAAGCCTCTCGGTCTCCGTTCACCAATTAATGGGCACCGGTCAGTAATCAAATCTATAATATCTTCAGGGGCTGATCGTCATAACAGTGGGCGATATTATTGAATATATGCCCACTCCGAGGGCTTGGTCCGAAACAATAGAGAGCAAGAGCCCACATGCCGAGAAGAATCAGTCCAGAAAATTCTTTCTCCAGCCATTTTCGTTCCTTGCTGTAGGGGATAATTAGTTCACTAAGGCACGGATGGTGGATGCTGCTCCGTTGGATCCTGCCAATCCAATGCCGAAATGGGGGAGGCCTTTCGGGACTTTTTTGCCGCGATTCCAATCTCTTTTAATCAATTGATATATGGATGGACAGGAGGTCTAGATGGGTGTATCTTCTAATATCGATTCATTTAGGACTGTTTTTGCGATCTGTTTGATTGTACGGGATTTGGTCATCTAGATGACTACTGGTGCAGTACGGTTCGGCCCAAAGCAGATCTCGACCTCTATTCCTATCCTGGAGATGCCACAAAGAAAATCAGTCTGGGTCGGATCAATCTAGTTTGAATAATTATTGGTTCTCTTGTAGGTGAAGAGAACTATTATCAACCTTGTATCTTTAGAGATTAAGCAAAATATGGTATCAACGCTACCGTTATATATAGTACTAGATCAAACTGTCAACCCAGGAAACCCTGGGTTCCAATGGAGTTCAACGCCTTCAATCCAAAAAGATCCCTAGAACAAATCTAATTTTAACGCAACGGACAGCTTTGACATGGCCATTGTTATAAAGATGATCAATAATGTCTCTGGAAATGTTCCTTACATCTCGCCTTCGGCTAAGCATTTGTATGGTCCGAACAGTTAATGATATAGTCACTTCTATCATGTCCACACGTACACTTACGACTATGCATATACGATGTCGACCTCCTTTCCATACCACCAAATAGCAGGTTGGCATTCCGAACATCTTCCACGCGGAAATGGCAGCCCCTCGAGCCATCTTGAATGAGATCACCTCCCTACGTTGGGCAGTTCATGCAGCATGTTGAGTGAGCGCTATTCAAAAAAAAAAAAAAAAAAAAATTATTTAGAGCTGCATACCTAACTCCAATATCCAGACAGCGGACGGGGCCTTGTTCACCAGAGAGAGAGATACCTTACGGAAATGAGTGAGGATCAAACGATGGACCAAGTCAAGTGCCATTCCGTTGCCTCGTCTGGACCAGACGTCGCTGGCTCTAGCATATTCGCACATATGGCCACATACAATGAACCAGTATGGTCTCATCCCCGATGATCGTTTCTACTACATCGGTGTCTTTTTCCACGGCCTCGTCCTTCCAAATGTCCATTCAGAGCAGCATTAAGCGATCTGGCATCAGCCATGCATCCAAGTTACTATCGGAATGACCTATCTTCAGACAGTTTGCTTCGTTATGTCGGCAACATCGGATATCACTGATCCCACTAGTTCCAAGGCGCTGATATTCGTGAACCGATGAAGGAGCATAAAGGGCAAGGACTCGTGTTTAGCCAATGGACCGACTTCCTAAGAACTAACGAGTTTCTACCTACCAATTTCTCGGACGAATGATGCTTGCTGTCTACCGCCCAACAAACCT